ATAGAAGGGTTTCGCTGTACGAGGGGTTATCATACTCTAATATTGACTTGTGTAGGCTCAGAAAATGTTTGTTGTAAAGAGGTTTTCTACAACAAAATTTTATAGAGGTTTGTTGTACAAAGGTTTTTCTGTAATTTGAAATCATTTTTGAAGGTCTTGACGATGACTAAAAACGAAATTTTTAGGGGTTTTTTTTCAATTTTGAACAAGTGTTTTGCGGATGTCAATTTCTTAAAAATTTAGCTTGGCTGTGGATCTGAGATATTACATGCTGCATAACACGACGACTTATTTTATTTCCAACCTTTCTACAGCTAACGGTTTATACAGTAGAGTCTTTGCCAAGTTTCTAACTAAAAATCTCGATGTTACTATATTGAAATCTCAGGTCTGAATTTTCATATATGTCACTCCAAGCCAGAATTGCAATTTACGCCAAGCATGGACAAAATCTGAGCTTCGCACTATGCGCATTTCCGCTATTATGTAAGATCAGAGGCTCAGACATGTTAGGATCTCAGCTTTTCAGAAAGCTGAGATCCCGACAAGTCTGCGACTTGTTTATAAGGAAAGAATAACATTTTTCCACACCTTGTTTTGTCTGGGATTACTAGTCGTCTTGGTTAACAAGTAACTAATTCTCTGAGCTTTTATCTGAGCCAGACTATGGCTATCATGACGATATAGACGGTTTCCGTTTTATCGGGTCAAAATAAAGATAAAATCCGTAAAGAATCGGCAAGACTGGGCGGTAAAAACAATCTAGCTTTGGCTATCCTTGCTGGACTAGGCTAAACTCCCGGCAGCTTTTAATTTTTTCAAGGTTTCTTAGCTAATTTGTCCATATAACCTCCCAAACCTCTGCCCCATCCATCATGCACACAATAAACCGTCGAAAAACCCAACTCAAAACAAAAAAGTCGGCGGCAAAAAAGCCTCAACATCTCGCCCCAACTTTCGGCGATTGGAGCTAATTCCGAGTGCTCTTGCCCTTGTTTTCCCTCGCATCCGTCTCCATTTTTCAAATCAGTTTTTTTCGGCCGCTCCAAGGTTCAACCAGAAATCGTTTTAATAGCCGATGGCGAGAGAGGAGAGAGGGGGTCTTATCGTCTTATCATCGCCTTTATGAATACACTTTTGCTGGTGTGGAAGTCGCATTTTCCGCGAGGTTTGGTCTGGATTATATGGGAAAGCTTTGGGGATTTTTGCAGATTATTTTTGTCTTCCTGGTATGTTGATGTGTTTTATCAAGGATTTGGGAGATATTGGAGGTGTGGCGGTGTAAAGAATTAAAAATCAGAGAAAAACGAGGAGTTTAGAAGGTTTTTTTGCTAATAGTGGCACTAGTTTTAACTCTGGAACTTTTTCAAGCCTAGTATAGCAATTAAAATGAGTAAAATGCTATGTAAAATGTATAGCAGCGTCTGTTTTAGAAAATGAAATTTTTAAAAATTTGAAGAAGTCTTTTTTTTCTTTAACCTTTTTACATTTTTTTTTCAAATTTTCAGCTAAATTTATCGCTATCCAAATTTCTCATGACCTAACCCGTAATTCCACGTCAAGTCACACCTATTTTTTCGACCAACAATCCTCAACTCAGCTCAAATTCCCCGCTAAATTCCCAACCAGCCCCAAAAATAGGTGTTCCGCCATTAGGACGATCATGATCCAGAAACTACCGTCATCCCCTCTTGTTTTGACCTACCATAACCGCAATCCGCTTTCCACGACCTTCTTTGTTATCTTTGCGGCACACCCCGGGGGAGTAATGGCTTGTGGAGATAAATAGGAATGGAGACAAGTCGTGATTAGGTTATAAATTATTTGCCTGGTTTTGAATGCGTGATGAGCAGCGTGGCGTGTTTAATACAATGCAAATCTCGTGATCTTTGGCTGAGACATGGCATTGGCCTAGTTTACTGGAGAGATTATGGGAGTTTTGATGGTGCTGATAGGTGAGGGATCAATTGGAGGAACTTGGGAAATTACAGTAATACAAAGAGATATTTAGGAGTAAAAGTGCATTTATTCTAAGGGGACATGACTGTACTGCATGCAGCATAATTTTCTGTTCATTATTTACTGTATGGCGCATGTTATGGCCTGAAAAAAAGAACTTGTTTGACGAGGTTTTTACCAATTTTGAAAAAACGTTTTCGGGCTAAAATAAACTCCAGCGTCTTTGCAAGCCTTAAAATATCAAATTTGAGACAGAACTATATACTTAACAGTATATAGTTTCACTGTAAAAAAAGGAGGAGTCCTGCGCCAAAGAGGATCGAACCCTGCTGGTTTTTCCACCAGATTCTCAACATACCGTTCTAACCACTCGGCCACACCGCTTTCTTCCGTAAAATAAAACTTGTTAGACCATGTTTGAGCAGCTAATTTTAACATAGCCTTAATCAGCATAATTTTGCGGATTTTTTGATATATCTCTTGACCTATAAATCCAGACCCCATAGAAGTACTTTTAAAGTAAACATAGTAGTATGCACTTTCCATCTAAAAACTTTCTAAAATGACCCTCAACACTATGAAATTCGTCTCTCCTAAAATATTAACACCTATCCTATCAAGAGGCCCATAAATCCCGTTTGTTTTTATTATCCCCCCATTTCGAAGATTTGAACTTTTTTCTTTTTTTCGATCCCATCACCAGCATTGACCTTGGCCGGTAATCCTCTTATATCATGTTCTGTTCATTCATAAATATTTTGCAAACAAAACCGCGAGGAGAGAATAATTTTTGCGCGTTTGCTTCTCAAATTTCATTGGGTGAATTTCTCTACATCCACCTGTTCCGCAAGCCGCACTTGTTGTGTGAGGATGAGCTGGGGGCGGAAAGTGTCCAAAATATACATGTTGTTTTTCCGAGTTTCGGTTTCGGTTTTGACAGTTTGTTGAAAAGGAAAGATAGGGGTTTAGAAAAGGTGTTTTAGAGTCTTGATCTTATGGAAGGAAATTGCTAGAAATAAAATGCTCAGATTTTCTTCAAATTTTGTGTGCATGGCGAATCTAGGCTATATAAAAAATACTGAAAGTTTGAGTTCTATCTTTGCATTGTAAGCCGAGATATTCAGGGATTTTTGTAGGCTAGAGGATACTACAAATGAGAGTGTTAAAAGTGTTTTTTGCCCTGTTTTTGTGAATTTTTTTAAAAAACAACTCGTGTTTCTCCAAAATATTGCTCACTACATTACATAGAAACAAAATAAATAGCAAATTGCTAGGGTCGCTCGCAATATATGTCTTAAATTTCCGGGGTTATTTGAAATCAAAAATTTCCATGTTTTGATAAACTTTTGATTATAATTTACAGGTAATAGAAATAAGTATCCCAAGTGCGATGCTCAGATTTTGACGAAGCTTTATGTTCCTTCAAAAAAATCATCTTTTTTCCAAACGAAACTGACAAAGATCTCGCTAAAAAAGTGTTTTTTTCTCTGACCGCTCTCCGCGTTTTTGCATGCACTCGGCCGCAAAGATTGTTGAATATCTCTGCTGCCTCTGCAAAGCGGAAGCCAAAATTTTTTGGAAGTGTTATGTACTCTATAGCCTAAATGCTAGCAAAATTTAAAGAAAATCTGGGCGTTGAACTTGGTATATTTCCCTTGTAAAATCTAGTCTTAAATGATGACAAACCCCGTCAAAAATCATAACCAGTTTTCCGTAAACTTTCTACGTTTTAATTCTTTTTATATTTCGAGCTCCACGCTTTCCATTAACGTTGCAAAAACTAAAAAAACCCCCGAGCAAATTCACAAATTCACCTGCACCAAAAATAATCGGAATCTAGCACGAATCCATGACCTTTTCATTAATATTAGATGGCCTCATTGCACGCAGAATTAATCTCTCCATTAAAACCCTTCACGTTGAGTATGTTTCTGTGGGAAGATGGGCTATTTTTGGTCGTTCCATCCTTTGTAGTGCATGTTTTGAACTTTTTTTTCCATTAATCCCTTTGGTCTGAAACTTGGCTCGAACTTTGGCTCTCCTGGGAAATTTGCGACTAATTTGTGTTCCATGTTTTCATTTTTAGGCCCACTTATTAGACATGTCATTGCAGTGACATAGGGGGTTATGAGGCTTGAAGAAGGGTGTTCTTTCTGACTTCAAACGTTGCCTTTGTACAACGACCTATCGTACAGCAAAAGCTCTCTATAACAAAGAATTTTTTGACCTCCAAGGGTCAATTTTATACCAATATAACCCTCGTAAAAAACCTGTATAACAAACAAATTTTAAATTTTTGAGAGTTGCTGTACAGAGGTTTTGCTATATATTATATTTTTTCTCCTTATTTGACCGCCTTTCCCCAAACTTTTTTCAAAATTCCCTATTTCCTCCATGGTTAATCATAAAAATCAAACGTTTCCTCCCTCTAAAGTCTCTGATTCACACTATAAAAGGAATTGTTCCGGGATTTATGACTTTTTGATAGTTTCATTGAGCCCTCTAAAAACGTTAACATTTTCGCCAAATCCCCGCTATCAAATAACGAGAACGTGAGAAAACGGAATTATCATCGTACCTACATGTTCTGCGTTCGTATGGCATTTTGAGTTCGTTTTTACGCGCTGAGATACTTGAGATTGCATAATACAGACGTTAATCCTGATAATGGGAGTCTTTGAATTCGTTTGGTTTAATTTTGGATACGATTGTAATTAGGAATACAAAAAAATTTTTTTTGTATACATATCCTGACCTAGACTTTGGTTTTTTGCCTTCTTTTTGCCGATTTGTCATGTCAGCTCTGGTATATATCATTATGATTCCATCTCTCAAAAGAATTGACCTCAAATCCCGCTTAAACTTTCAATACTCCCGCCGATTTCACCTCTAATATCATACACGTCGTGTTTATCATCTTTTCGTCGAGAAAATAATCCTCTCTCATCAGTTTAACACAGCCCCGAATTCCCCCCGCACACACACACACACACATCATTGGTGCGGCGGCGGCTGTAAAAGCGAATTACCAAAATTAAACCATGGCCATGGTGGATCAAACCCAGCGCCCTGCCCAACTCCGGCCCGACAAACGCGGCGGCGGCGGCGGCTCCTCCACGTCCGACTGCCGCACAGACGACAAACGCCCGTCGGCCAGCTTCCTGGACACCTTTCCCCGCGCCGCAGAGGATGGTCAAGCGCCGGACCCGGTGCTGGAGACGAGTCTTGCGATGAGGAAGTTGTCGGAGGCGTTTGGTAAGTGCAATGTACATCTTTTTTTATTTTTTTACAATTTTATCTTTATGTTTCTTTGCACAGCGTATTCAAAAACGATTTTTTTGGTTAAAAAAAGTTAAAAAAAAATTTTTTGGCCGGTCGTAAATTTGAAAAAAAAAATAATTAAAAATGTGAAAAAAAAATTAAAAATGATGATTATTGGGCCGAAAAAAAATATAAAAATAGCAAAGATGAAGTCAAAACTATGTGGTTTTTGCTAGATCATCGCTTTTTTCAAATTGCAAATGACTCAGTGTTCTATTCTAAGCCGTCATACTACTCATTTTCAATTATCTTTTGATCTTACATTTTTTTTTGTTTTTTTTGAAGACAGCTCTTATTTTTAAAAAAGGCCGGAGTTGATCCTAAAATACGACTTTACAAGGAATTTTAGAGCTGCTGTTCTTTCTTGATAAGCTCTAGAGAAGCCGTTGTATGGTCGGCGGACGCTCGGCAAAGGCTCGGCGAAGGCTCAGCGGAGACTTGCAATATGTCCATTTTTTCTAATTTTACTATTAATAACGTTAGTTTTCTTTACCTTGAGTTATTGTAGCATATAAAAAATCAAAATTTGTGGCAAAAAACGAATATCTGTAACTTTTATCTAGTCATTATTGATGTCAGTAAATGTAAAATACCACAAAATAGGTTTTAGGATACCTTAGGACCCGACCAATCTCATTATTACTTCTACTAACTAAGCCTTCCCCTAGCCTCTTCCATGCATACAACGAAGAACTGTCGTATGACCGGAAAAGTCGGAACGTGCTATTTTTATCTCACCCTCTATTTTTACGTCATTTTCTCAGTATCTAATGGCCAGATCATTTTCAAAAAAAACGAATGCTTTTCCAAAAATACCCTCAAAATTAAACTTTTGGCTCCCCAACACGTCGAACGCAAATACACTCGTATATCACACCGCACACGACCATTTTGTCAAAACAGCAATATCATGGTCGACAAACAAGGCATTTGTCGTCGTATGTATTACCATCGAACAAGCCTATCCCCTTTCTCTATTTGCATTTCGTGCCCCAAAACTTTCTCAATTCACACATTCGCGCGCCACGAAATCCGAGGCCCCTGTTTACGGCGCTCGAGGCGTTTTCCCGGGGATTTGCATTTTTGGTTTTATTCGATTTCCCCTCGTCGTTCGGCCGGGCGTTCACGTTTTTTCGGGGGAGCGGCGAATGGTCTGGAATCGGGTGGAAACGGGCGGTTCAGCTGACAGCACGCTGGACAGTTATGCAAAGTGCTAAATACTTGTGGGAAGGGATTGATTTCCCGTTAAGCGGTCAAATTTTGAGGGAATTTTGGATAAAACACACGTTTTTTTGGGGTGAAAAAAGTTTTTTTGGCCAAAAATTCAAAAATAAAATTTTGTTTTACAGTCCAATTTACCGGCCATGACTAAAAAATTAGTCATTTTTGACTATGAAAATTGCTCTAGACAATTTTGGAACAGATTTTTATTTGTAATCTACCTTTTTTTGATCAACTATTCGTGATATCCAAAATTCCCTCAGCCTAGATTTCATTTTCTACCAGTTGTTTTGCGATGGTCGACTTTCGATCGCTGAAAGAGCGACGTCAACTGTCGTTGGGTGTCCGACTTCGTCGACGGATTTCTCAGCATATCCGCAAAGGTGGGGGACTTTTAAATAAGCTTGTGAACTTGGTACAAAGTCATTTTTAGACTTCATTTTTGTGCGGGTTTTGTATGTCACGCTTTGCAGAAACGAGAGATTTTTTGATGCTTTTTTGAAGGTTTTATAGTAGATAAAAATTTGGCTTTTTTATTCAGGAGTAGAGGTGGCAATCGGGCCGGGCCGGGCCGATTTTTGCGGCCCGGCCCGCGGGCCGAAGTGACCAGGCCGGCCCGGCCAATAAATTTTTTTCCTAGCTAAATCGACAGAGATTGATTCGAAAAAGCGACACAAACAGAAATTCAAGTTGACTTTTCGTCCCAAATTGGTGATCTGGACAAAATTTTTGAACCGGCTTTTTGACCAATCTGAAAAAAATGGGCTTTTTTGAAAAAAGACTGCGCATTTTCAAGCCTTCAAAAATTTTCGGGAAACTTGAAGGGGGGCAGGTTCTGATCAGTATATAATACCTAGTGAGAAATTTAGACAAAAATGAAAATAATTTCTGCGGTACATTGCTTGGACTAGGGCCAATTTGAAGAGCTTTTTTCGTATACCACCAAAAGCTGTTTCTTTTTCTTACTGCTCTCCGCTTTTCATACTTGAATACATATAATACTATACTTTTGATCCCAAATTCTGCGCTAAATCTCTGCAAAATTGATCTCCGGCCAATTCCCAGCCAGCTTCCCAAATATGGACAAAGTTTGAATGTCACATTCCACGCACTTCCCCTGTTAACTTCTACAAAAAGGAAATTAAATTTGTCGACTGAAAAATCATTTTTCGGTGTTCTTTAAAGTACGTGCCCTCCTATAAAATCGTTGTTACGTCAGTAACTCAATTTTTCTTTTATTCAAAATCCATTCAAATTTCCATTTTCCCCTCGATTTTCTCTCTTCATTTGAGAGTAAATCGAGCCGAACTTCCTTGTAAATCCCGTAAATAGTATTGTTATTATTCGGAAAGTGCAATTTCGCTCGGTTTTTAATGGATGATGCCGCAGAAGTGTACTTTTTTGCTGGATGTAAATATTGGAGATTATTTTTCAAAATACAATTCCTTTGAACTTTTTGATTGGTGTTTATGGGCCGTATTGTAATTGTACTAGTAGAATTTTGTGGCTTCAATTTTTTTCATTATTCGCAATATGGAAATTTCGGACAAAATTTGCCAATTTCTTAAAACGCGTTTTATTACAAATCGTAGTTTGGCCCGGACATTGTTAAAATCGGTGTCTCAGAATTCAACGAAACTTGGTAGATTTAATCACTGCTAGGCATAGAACATTCGCTTTCTTTAATTTTTCCCAAAATTACCATATGACGGATTACTGTAACTTTCTTCCTCAAAAAAGATGTGCCCTAATCGTGAAAACGAAGCTGTATTTTAGTGCAAATTGAGTTCAGGTGTATGTTTTCGACCATGTTGAACATTTTTGTAATTATCACCAAAAACTAAAAATTACATCTAAGCTATGTTACACTTGAGGCAACATACCATTTCGGGTGTAAAAAATGCAGTTTTGAGGTGACGCAAATTTTGAAACCGGAATATTAAACTTCAAGCCTTGTCTAATAAACCATAAAAATTTCAGAAAAATCAAATGTATAGTTTTTGAGAAATTGGACATTGAATGACTCATGTGCAATATCACCTTGACCCGAAAAAAACTGGCATTCTTGGGGTTTTGACCTGACGCAGATTTTGAAAGTTTCCACTACATTTTTATCACATTTTAGGAGGATTTGGAAAGTTTCAGAGGAAAAAAATGTATAGTTTTTGAGAAATCGGCCAAAATACCTTGTTTTAGGTCATCAGATGCCCGAAAAAAACTGGCATTCTTGGGGTTTTGACCTGACGCAGATTTTGAAAGTTTCCGCTACATTTTTATCACATTTTAGGAGGATTTGGAAAGTTTCAGAGGAAAAAAATGTATAGTTTTTGAGAAATCGGCCGAAATACCTTGTTTTAGGTCATCAGATGCCCGAAAAAATCTGGCATTCTTAGGTTTTTGGCTAGGCGCAGATTTTGAAAGCTTCCAATACATTTTCATGACATTTCAGAAGGATGTAGAAAGTTTCAGAGGAAAAAAATGAATAGTTTTTGAGAAATCGACCAAAATACCTTGTTTTAGGTCATCAGAACACAGAATCGTAGCCATCGGCTTACATTTGACAAAAGTTTTGCAGAGAGCTCGAATTTATTAGTGACAATTTGGAGAAAAAACAGTAACACGCATATATCTCGAAAAAAAGAGATGCCGAAGAAAATTGGTCGAATTTTCCAGCAACTTGACCTATAACAGGTTCACCTTGGTCGATATCTCAAAAACTATTCACTGTTTTCCTCTGAAACTTTCTATATTCTGCTGAAATGTCATAAAAATGTATTGGAAACTTTCAAAATCAGCGTCAGGTCAAAACCCCAAGAATGCCAGTTTTTTTCGGGCATATAATGACCTAAAACAAGGTATTTTGGCCGATTTCTCAAAAACTATACATTTTATTCCTCTGAAACTTTCCATATCCTCCTAAAATGTGCTAAGAATGTATTGGAAACTTTCAAAATCTGCGTCAGGTCAAAACCCCAAGAATGCCAGTTTTTTTCGGGCATATGATGACCTAAAACAAGGTATTTCGGCCGATTTCTCAAAAACTATACATTTTATTCCTCTGAAACTTTCCATATCCTCCTAAAATGTGCTAAGAATGTATTGGAAACTTTCAAAATCTGCGTCAGGTCAAAACCCCAAGAATGCCAGTTTTTTTCGGGCATCTGATGACCTAAAACAAGGTATTTCGGCCGATTTCTCAAAAACTATACATTTTTTTCCTCTGAAACTTTCCAAATCCTCCTAAAATGTGATAAAAATGTAGTGGAAACTTTCAAAATCTGCGTCAGGTCAAAACCCCAAGAATGCCAGTTTTTTTCGGGTCAAGGTGATATTGCACATGAGTCATTCAATGTCCAATTTCTCAAAAACTATACATTTGATTTTTCTGAAATTTTTATGGTTTATTAGACAAGGCTTGAAGTTTAATATTCCGGTTTCAAAATCTGCGTCACCTCAAAACTGCACTTTTTACACCCGAAATGGTATATTGCCTCAAGTGTAACATAGCTTAGATGTAATTTTGAGTTTTTGGTGATAATTACAAAAATGTTCTACATGGTCGAAAACATACACCTAAACTCGATTTGCACTAAAACTGAGCTTCATTTTCTCGATCAGGGCACATCTTTTTTGGGGAAGAAAGTTACAGTAATCCGTCATACGGTAATTTTGGGCAAAAACAAAGAAAGCGAATGTTCTATGTCTAGTGTTGATTAGATTGACCAAGTTTCGTTAAATTCTGAGACACCGATTTTAACAATGTCCGCCCCCTGTTAGGCTAAGCCCCAAAGTGTGGCAAAACGCGTTTTAAGGTTTACGGCGTAATAATATATGAAAATTCAATTTAAATTTATAGCCTCTAAAAAGTCGTCTTAGAGGCATGTGTCATCCATAAAAATAATCGAAAATGGGCTATATTTTATAGTAAATTTAGTGTTTTTTAATTCTCCATTATTTTTATAATACAGGGTGCGGCAATTTTTCGGCCGGATTTTAATTGGCCATAACTTTCTTAGTTTTTGGGCAAATGTTAAAATTCTTTTTTTCCCTGAATCCATAGACAACCCCATTTTGTTTAATACGAAATATGTTATACCCGTTCATTAGACTACAGTAAAAATTCGAGACAAAGAAAAAGCTCTAATTTTCATAGCTGACAATGGAATTACCCCTAGTGCGACTCTCAGATTTTCTTTAAATTTTGCATATGGTCCGCACATAGGCCACACATCAATTCCTGAAAGTTTCAGCCCGCACCTTTCAGGGGCGACCAAGATATTCAACGATTCTTTGCGGTCAGGAGGGCACATGAGTGGTCACACAGAAAAACTTTTTGGCTATATCTTCGCTAGTTTTGTGCGGAGATAGCTGATTTTTTTGTGGAAACGGTATTTTCCATGGCATTAACAGGCATGAAACTTTTTGCGACAAAATTCGTAAAAAAAGTCATTTTTTCTGGCGATTTTCAGACACGCCGAAAAAGCAGAGAAAACGACCGAAATGCCAATAACTGTGAACTAGGTCCCTGTATATATAACATATTTGGTATTAAACAAAATGGGGTTGTCAGAGGATTCAGGAAAAAAAAGAATTTTAACATTCGTATGAAAACTAAAAAAGTTATAGCCAATTCAAATCCGGCCGAAAAATTGCCGCACCCTGTACTTCAATTTCACTACCTTCCGCTCGTAAAAAAATTCTGCACAGTGCGGAGTGATTTTCAGCCTACTTTTATCATTGCACCGTGCAAGACAATTTTAAGCCTATTTTTTGTCTTGCACAGTGCAAAGCAATTTTTAGCCTATTTTTGACACCGCACAGTGCAGAGAGATTTTTAGCCTATTTTGGCACTGCACCGTGCAGAACCATTTTTAGCTTATTTTTGGTTCCGCACAGTGCAAAGCCATTTTTAGCCTATTTTCGGTATTGCACAGTGCAAGGCAATTTTTAGCCTATTCTTTTCACTGCACAGTGCAGAGGAATTTTTACCTTATTTTTGGCATTGCACCGTGCAAAGCGATTTTTAACCTATTTTTGACACTGCACTGTGCAGTCAAAAAATATTTTGAAAATCAATGTTAAAGCGGCTTGAAAACCTTTTTTTTTAATTTTGCTACCCATAAAGCCACTAATTATACGTTTCCGTTACACTCCAACTTATTATTTACAATATGCGCTCGTAAAATTTCCGCCGAGTAAGAGTTTCAGCGAAGCGGTGATTTGTAAATAAAAAATCGATGTGTGATTTTACGAGTGTTCGAAGGAAATGGAATTACCTTCCATTTTCTCTCTTCGTTCGCTAGGTTGGGGGTTTCCGATCAGATCTTGAGCTAATCGGAATAAATGAATGGAAATTGGGTTTCGCGCGGGGTTTAGTGGTGATGGGGCTGGTTTTGGTGGTGGAAAAATATTCGTTTTAGGGTTTATGGGGAAAATGGGATAGCTGGATTGTCATCGTATCATTGTTGTTCATTTTGATGATTTTTGAGAAAATTGGAAAATACCATTTTCAAAAATGTCATCATAATTTTACCTGGTCCTATGCCTTATTTAAAAAAATTGGCGACGCTTTTCTGAGCAATAAAATTTTTACACTGGCGATATTTTTGTTACACAGCGGTCGGACGACGACTAATAATTAGCTTCATAAAGTTGTTAGTGCAATTTGGCCGGTGTCAAGTTTCAGTTGACAGAAAAAACATGTGACCCGGCAGCGGGTGGGGGCAAATTGGGGAGTATTCCTTTTTTAGATTAAAAAGCAATGGTGTGAAGTTGTGCAGGAGCTTTTTAGTGATTTTTAGCGTATTTTAGGAAGGATTTTTTTAGAAAAAAAAATCGTAGTGAAAGGCTTTCTTGACTAGGAATATCCAGAAAAAGGCAAGGGAAGTTTTGGAAAGGTGGCGCTCAGATTTTTTTTAAATTTTGCACACAGGTTGGGCATAGGCCACAAATCAATTCGTGAAAGTTTTAGCTCGCGCTTTGCAGTCACAGCCGAGATCTTGAACGATTTTTACGGCCGAGAGAGTACGCAAAATGAAGAGGGCGATTAGAGAACGGTCATAGAAAAAAATAATTTTTAGTTATATCTTTGCCAGTTTCAAAGGGAAAAAATTTATTTTTTGTGGAAACATTACTCTCTACGGTAGAAATGGGTATGTCACTTTTCATGCCAAAACTCACAAAAAAACTGTCACATTTTTTCCAAGTTTGGACTAAAAATTTTTATTTTTTCTGCAAAGCGCGAGCTAGGAATATTGTATTATATGCCTTCAAAAAATTAATCTAAAGTTCTGCCAAACTTCGTGTAAATCCGAACGTCGCACTTCAAGAACTTTTCCTGTTCGCTGTAAAGAACGCCAAAGTACTTTAATAAATTCGTATACCGCTGAATATCTCACGTAAAATCGGTTCAATCACCTCCCTATTTCAACCCAAAATGACCTTTTTTCAATTAAATTTGATTCGTATTTGTTATTTTGGAAGGGGTTCAACACATATTTTCTTCAATAAGTTGTACTTTTTTAATCACCCATTGATACCCCCCATTCACTTTTTCGGGTTACTCGCCAAATTGTTTTGACGCAATCGTCGACCGCAACCGCCGTTCATCTTTTTTTGTTTTCGACCCCAAACTTTACAACTCCCCCACCTTCGGGCCCCGTATAAAAGGCGATTCGGGGTGGCGGTCATCAATTAATTAGGCGGCAGAGGTTTTACAATTGCCAACAATTTTTAGGGCTACAAATAGTTACATTTTTTGAGAGACAAAATATACATAGTGAAAACTCTGTATAACGAACTGTATGGGCGAAAAAATTATTGGTTTTTAAGGGGCTTTGTATTACGCAAGTTTATAAATTTAGTCGTAATATTGCAAATTGAGATTTTTAGGTCAAATTATAACTACCTTATAACAAAACCTCTCTATAGCGAACATTTTCAGAGCTATAGAATCCATTATAAGCCAAAATAAAGCTTCATATAACAAACTCCTTCTATAACAAAATTTTTTTTATTTCGTTGCAATTCGTTGTACAAAGCTTTGACTGTATTTTTCAAAGCCTCAAGTCGATTTTTTAACTCTCAAACTCCGACCCCTCGACTTTTTATGGGTTTGAGTGTTCATAATTGCGCGGGATGTTTATGATGATTGTTGGGGCGGCGACTGATTTCGGGGTTACAGATGACAATTTCAATTCACCCTTGCTTTTCAACGCCCCAAGGTCGAAAGAGTGGAGCCATTGCGGTTTAGCTGTTTTTTCCTCGGATTAGCGGACATTATGATGTATAATATCACATAAGTCTGGGGATTGAATAAGGACATTCCGGGGGATTTTTGTGGGTTATTAGTAAGGAAATAACAAGGGAAATATAGTCTAGATTTAGTTGAATGAGAGAGAGAGATGAAGAGATTTTATCGGTAGCTTTATTAGTATACATAGTACCAGTCTGTCGGGAAAATAATGAGCATGATGTTGCATCAAAAATCTTATCGAAAATCTCATGAAAATGAATTGCATTGCGGTAAAATAAAATTGCCTTTCACTTCAGCGACACGTTTGGCAAAGCGAAATTGTGCTCATTATTTCCCCGACAGACTTCGAAGGCATAAATTAGTTTGTGTTTTGCGCTATTGGATGGTGTCTTTTAGAGATTATGTTGCTTCCTTCAAGCGCTTATTGGGTTTCACCGACAATTCGCGTAAAATCTTTGAAGCTTTCTAACATTGACCAATAGATCCTGCAAATTTAAAAATCGGCTATGTCTTGTCCCAAGGCACTTTTTGCCCAAAGATTTATCCTCTAATGACGCTGAATCTCTAAATCATCATGTATATTGCCCCTACCGTCCTCCGTTCTCCGCGTTTCCACTAAAAACCTCATATTCAACCTATTGTAGACGTCATTTCCAAATGCTGTAGTTATAACACTCCAGTACTCTAACCATATTTCAACTTGATGGATCGAAAGCTCAAGACTCGAACGGCCTCCGAACGGAATACCTCGCAGTTCCCGGACATTTTGAAGCGATTCCGATCACTTCGAAATACCGACAAAGTCTGCCTGCCAAAAGAGGAAAAGGAGAATGAGGACCCGACCAAGCCGGATTGCCGGCCCGGAGGGTCTAAGCGCAAAATCGACTTTAAGCCGCGCAGCAAGAGCTGTCTGAAGCCGGTGACGAGATTCGTGACAAAGTTGTCGAAGCGCTACAATGACAATGATGGTAAGAAGGGCGTAAAAAGAAGTAAAGTGGAAGCTCTAAGCAAAAATCTTGCATACAACAAAACCTGTTTATAGCAAACTATTTTAGAGGCCCTAAGAGTTAATATAAGACCAAAATGAACCTCTGTACAGTAAAGCCTTTCTATAACGAATCTTTTTTCTTAGCACTTTGGGGTCCTTTCTACAGAGTTTTTGGCTGTAGTATCAGCCGAAATGCAGTGGAAGCTCTGAGCAAAAAACTTTTGTACAACAAAACCTGGCTATAGCAAACGATTTGAGAGGACGTAAGAGTCAATCTAAGGCCTAAATGAACCTCTGTATAACAACAACTTTTCTATAACAAGTCTTTTTTTTGGCCATCTGGAGTCCTTTCTACAGGGGTTGGCTGTAGTATCAGCTTGTCGGGGGAATAATGAGTACAATGTCGCTGCGCCGATCGGGTCGCTGAAGCGAAAAGAAATATGACTTTGCCGTGACACAATTTATTTTAGTGATACGATTTTCGATGCGACATTTCGCTCATTATTTTCCCGACAAACCGTAGTATAGTAACTTGATGATTTTGCTGCCAAAATATTTCATTTCCCCCAAAATTATCGATAAGCTCACCCAAACATGTCCAGTCCTCCCAGCCTAGCCCTAATTCTCCCTTCCTCTTGCGACATGTTAACTCCATTCCAAGAGTTTCCCCCAAATCCCCGCTAACTTGAACCTCTCCCCCTTCCCTTTGGAGTTAAATCGATTTTCTATTTTCGAAAGGCAAGGCAGCGCTTCAAAATTTGATTTACAAAAGCGCCGCAGGTCTTCGCATCATCGTTTCGGAACCAACGTGAACCGGGTGGGGAAACTTTTGCGGGGTTCGTGTTTGATTAGCGGCCATGTACGCGGGGATATTTGCATGTGAGGGTGGGTGGGGAAAACATGGATAAATGTGGATTTTGGGTGGGTTCCGGGTGGTCGTCAAGTTTTGGAGAGGTGAGTTAGGGAAGCTTGTGTATTATTGGGCAGTAAAATTGATATATTTAGGGAGAAACTTTAAAGAAAATTAAGGTTTTCTTGGAAATTCATCAAAAAATCATCATTTCTCACGTTTTTCATTACTTCCTTGCCAGTTAACGCAAAAAGTAAGACTACAACTAACCAATTTTACACACTGTTCTGTTGACAATGACTCAAACCTTACTGTACGTGTCTAGGAAACTCCCCACACACACTACATTCATCATGTTTTCCCCTCACTTTCCCCCATTCCCTAATTACCTCTTATTCTCCCCCCAACTTTCTTGCCTGTTTCAAGCTGTATAAATAGCCGCCACAACCCGCAAATAGCAGCCCCTTACCTCCGCACGTTCCCCATGACAATTTCGGTACTCTTTGACCTCATTTGCGCCCTACTCCAAATTAAAGACGCCTTCGTCAATCTCCGGGCGCTTTTTCGGGGCGAATGAGTTCATTATTTCGGAGATTTCGTTTTTCCGAATTAAAAAGCCTCCTCGCGGTTTTCTTTTTTTTTTTTTGACGTTTGACTGAGTTTCCTAAATGGGCATAACCACGGGAATGCAAGTCCGTTCCGCCGAGATTTTCATTATTTTGAGAGCCAAGTTGGGGCCAAATGTCTGCAAACTCAGACAAAAAAATGGGGCCATTGAGTGGGAGCCTACTGTAAATTGATGGGTTTTTAAGATTTGAGGTTGCTCATCAGAGCTTGAAGACCAGATCGACCGTGAAAATGAAGATTTTTTTGATGAAAAATGGCCAAATTTGCAGATTTTGTCACAAAATTGATGAAAATTTTGTAATTCTTCAAATTTCTTGCTGTTTTTGCGGATGAAGCCCCATTGTGGCATGATCCTCTTAGATTTTTGAGACTTATATTAATTCCCTGAGGTAGAGAAGCCTCTAAATGAAGACCAACGTTTTTCAATGGCATTGAAGGACATTGAAACAGGTGTTTGCACCTCTATGTACTCTAATATTATGCAATTCACTCCAAATTTTTGCTATATCTCAATTTTTACTCTATTCCAGATCTTTGTTTGCCCTTTTAACCTTATATTCTTTCTTGTTAAACCATCTAGTTCATAAATTATTGCAAGAAACATAAGTCATCCCACATAGCACGCCATGTGGAATACAATTTTCCGTCCATTTTTGGCATGACTTTTATTCCAATTTTCGAAATTTTCAATGTTTCGATAGGCCAAGCATCAAACGCCAGCGCGCTCCTCATTGTGCTGAGCGGTTATTCGAGCATTTTTGAGTACGCCGGCCCCGCCGTTTCCGAGTGGTTTCAAGGACAATAAAACACATCTTTTTATTATTTCGCGCCCTGTTTCACGCTTGTTTTTTGTCGCCTTCAGCTGGAATTTGCACGGAATGCAACTTTTCCGAGCAAAAGTTTGGCCAGTATTTTGCGGAGAAAAGGAAATTTCTATGGACAAAGCGTGTTACTGATCTAAATATTTATTATAAAACTATGAGGAAGAGGTCTAAAACTCCATTATGGCGCAGCTTAGTGACTTTTTTATTACTTTTTAAGCGAAAAAGTAAGTCTAAACACTAATTTTAGAGAATTTTTTAGCTCAAAAACACAGTAATTTTTATTGTAATTACTGTAAAAATATTTTTTTGAATTTCAAATTTTTAAAATTTTTAGGGTATCATAAATAATATGGCTAATATCATGCTGTTATCAAAAATTCTAAGGCCTCTTTCTGGTGTAAATAATCGGTATTTGACGTAATTATACTCTGGCTGATAAGAAATCTTCGAATTTCCGTTTTTAGAGCGAAAAATTTGGATTATTTTGAAAATTCTTTTTTTTTCATAGCGAAAAATACTAGGGGAAATACTCCAAGTGCGACGCTCAGATTTAGATGAAACTTGACTCGAATTTAGAATTACTTTTTCTGAGACTTATATAAGACTTCTAGCTCGCGCTTTGCACAAACGACCGAGATTTTTTAGTCGAAAATTTTAAAAAAGAAAAATTTTTTTTGCGAATTTAGACACCAAAAGTTGTATGCTTATTTCTAACGTAGAGAGTAATGTTTCCACAAAAAATCAATTTTTTCCACGCGGAACGGGCAAAGATATGGCCAAAAAGTGTTTTTCTCTCTGACCGCTCTCCTCGTTTTGCGTCCTCTCTCAGCCACAAAGCTCGTTGAATATTTCAGCAGCTAAAAATTTGTGCCTGCTAAAAATTTTGATAATTCATATGTGATCTATGTTCATTATGTGTGCAAAATTTAAAGAACATCTGAGCGTCGAACTTGATCTACTTCCCTTGTAAAGAATTTCCAAAAACTTAGATTTTTTCTCCAAAAATATTGCGATTCCGCTGACTTTGTAAATAACTCGATATTATTCCCACCGATTCGCAGGTCCGATCGAGTTGCAGCGATCGCGCTGCAGATGGTTGTCGCTGATAGGGAATCATAATTTCTCCCCGTCCACCACGTCTTAAACTCTTTTCTCTCTCTTCCATTCGGCGTCCGTTCGTCTTTATCTTCGTGATAAATTGCGTCTTGATTTGTTTATGAGCTTTTCGCTTATTAAATTTGACTTCCACCCCGTAGGGCGTCCGAACTGTGCAGGTTGTTTTAGGGTCCATTTTGGGGTCGGAGGTGGGTTGTAAATTTTAGATGAGTACTGATATTGTCCCTTCAACACTCAATATAAGCAGTGAGCCCAAAAGTTACATCACTTTGCTCTGCACGGCGCAATTATAACCTTTTTTTGTTGTTGAACTGTGCAGTGGGAAATCTCTCATTCTTTGTAAAATATTGTTTATTATAATGACTAAAATACGTAAAAATATTTTTACAACAATCATATATTATTTAGAAGCCATTAGGACCAACTTCCGACCCTTGAAACAGAATGCCAAGATTTTTCAAATTTGGCGGGAAATTTGAATTTTATGGTTTCCTCGCACGATTTTTTAATCTTAGAAGCCAACCAGCGTTTCTACGAAGTGATAGAACGATCATAGGGCAATTTTTGATCCCTACAACACAATGCCAAGAATTTCTCACTTTGGCGGGAAATTCAAATTTTTCCAAAGTTTAATCCCCAAACGGATGTCTAATCCCCTCTCGTCATCTAGTCTAATTCCGAAACCTAAAAGTTCCCGCTGTCTACTCAGAAAATGTCACCTAATGTCATCAACGTGTCAGTACCACACACATATCACATTATAACTCGTTCCGCATCTCCCCCAAATTCTGTTTCCAGAATCAAGTAGCCTGAGGGCAGTGCGAATCGGGAGAGAAAGGAGCGGTCCCGGGGAATGATTTCAAATTATTCATGAAAAGCGGCGAGTTTATTCGGGGAGTTTGGAAACGACTGTAAATTGCGGCGGTTTATGGGGCTTTACTAAATGGAAATCTGGTCCATGGGCGGGTTGTGATGCCGCTGTTTAAACGTCTGTCCACCAAATGTGAGTTCAAGATGGGTCAGGGCGGTGCGAGCCAACGGAGTAATAATTTTTGATCGTGCTTTAGGGGTTTTAAATTTTTGATTTTTGAAATCATCAAGTTTGTAGGCCAAATGGTCGAAGTGCGACGCTCAGATTTGGATGAAACTTGACACAAATTTAGAATAGTTATTTTTATGACATATGCGAGACTTCTAGCTCGCACTTTGCAGAAACGACCGGGATTTTTAGGGTTAAAGTTGGGAAAATTTTGACATTTTTTTGCAAACTTTGACATGCCAAATATCAATACCTATTTCTATGGTAAAGAATAGTGTTCCCACAAAAAATCAATTTTTTCCACGCGAAACTGGCAAATATATGGCCAAAAGAGTTTTTTTTTTGACTGATCTCCTCTTTTTGCGTACTCTTTCGTCCGCAAAGATCGTTGAATATCTCGGCTGACACTGCAAAACGCGAACTAAAATTTTCAGTCAGTGATATGTGGCCTATAGCCGATGTGTCTACAAAATTAAAAGAAAATCTGAGCGTCGAACTTCAAACTTTTACCTTGGCTTGCTACAAAGGCAGTAGCGAAAATTTATGAAAATTACCCCCAAAAATAAAGTTAATTAGCGGTTGAAAATACTGTATGTAAAAATAAAGATGATGTCAGAACTCTGTGAGACCAAAAAGTTGTAAAATTCAGACTAAAATAGTAGTAATAAACCCGGTTTATTGCCCATTAACCCAGTCTCATTTTAGCCCAACGAATCGAAGGCAAGGCATTTGTTCGCAGAGGTGCATTACGACAGAAAAATGTGCATGAAGTCAAGTGAGTATTCAAATTTTTTTGGAAATTTTTTTGAAACTTTCTTTAAATATCATCGTATTTTAGACAACACAAATTTATCGCCCGGTTCTTCAAACAGCCCACCTTTTGTTCACACTGCAAGGACTTCCTTTGGGGCCTCAATAAACAAGGATTCCAATGTCAAAGTAAGTAAAACTCTTTAATTTTTCAGTTGCTTTTTAGTCACCGTTTTTACTAGTGTATATAAATAAAATTAATTCCATTTTTTACAGTCTGCACTCTGGTTGTACATAAGCGATGCCACGAATTTGTAAATTTCGGCTGTCCGGGTGCGGATAAAGGCGTGGACACCGACGATCCGAGGCAGCAACACAAATGGAAGGTCCAGACTTACTCCTCGCCAACGTTTTGTGATCATTGTGGATCGTTGTTGTATGGGTTGATACATCAGGTAAGTATGGATTTTTTTCGAGATAAAAAAAATCTTGTTTGCCTGCACCGTGCAGAATTTTCGGTCCACTGCACCGTGCAGAATTATTGTTTCACTGCACAGTGCGAAATTTGATGTTGACTGCACAGTGCAAAAAAATTTTTTGACGCACTGTGCAAAACTTTTAGTTTACTGCACTGTGCAGAATTATTTTCTCTGCACAGCGCGACCGATTTTTTAGCCGCACAGTGCAAAAAATTTTTTTTGACTGCACGGTGCAAAATTTTCTTGCAATTGCACCGTGCAGATTTCTTTTTTTTACTGCACAGTGCGACCGATATTTTAGCCGCACAGTGCAAATTTTTTGGTTCACTGCACAGTGCAAAATTAATTTATCTCTGCACCGTGCAGAATTATTGGTTCAATGCACAATGCGATTTTTTTTGATCGCACAGTGCGAAATTTTCTCTTTGTCGCATCGCGCCAAAATAATTTTTTACTGCACGGTGCGAAACCAGATGTTGACCGCACAGTGCAAAAAAAATTTTTTTGATTGCACGGTGCGAAATTTTCGATCGGCTGCACCGTGCAGAATTTTTTTATTCACTGCACAGTGCAGAAAATTTTTTTTACTGCACAGTGCAAAAAATTTTTTTTTATTTTGAAAATTCGTAGGGCTTATCTTTTTGATTCTTGCCACTAATTTCACCATTTCAGGGTATGAAATGCCAATGCTGCGACACGAACGTCCACCATCGCTGCGTCCGCTACGTGCCGAACATGTGCGGCACGGATCACACGGAGAAGCGGGGCCGCATCTACTTGGACATCCGAGTCGTTGATGGCGTGCTGTACGTGCATGTCAAGGAGGCCCGTAATCTAATTCCCATGGACCCGAATGGCTTGTCCGACCCCTACGTGAAGCTGAAATTAATTCCAGACGACGGGAAGGGGAAAAGTAAACAGAAGTCCCGAACGCTGCGGGCCACACTCAACCCTGTCTGGGACGAACATTTCACATAGTAAGTTGGACAGGAAAACGTCGAAAAATTTGGAAAAAAGGAAAAAAAAATTTTTGAAAAAAGAATTTTTTGTAATCATCAAAAAAAATTTTTTTTGAAAAAAATTTTTTTCGCAAAACTATACATTACCAGCATTATTGAGCCAAAAAATTAGCCCCAGATGTCAAGGCTACCCTTGAAAAAATTCATTTGAAACTATCCCCTCTATTTCACCCTAAAATCCACAAAAAAATCAAAAAATCTCGTTTTCAGCAAACTCGAGATCACAGACAAAGACCGTCGGCTTTCGGTCGAGGTCTGGGACTGGGACCGAACCTCTCGCAATGACTTTATGGGCTCTCTGTCCTTTGGAATCAGCGAATTGATCAAAGAGCCCACCCAAGGCTGGTTCAAGCTTCTGAACGACGAAGAAGGCGAATATTACAATATTCGAATACCTCCGGAAGACGAGGGAGAAGTTGAGAATCTGCGGAAACGAATGCTGGAGCTGAATTCAACGCAAAAAAGTCCAAGACAAAAGTCGACCGTGTCCATGATCAACAAGGATGGAGTTAGTGTAAATAAGGACGTGGTGAAGGCGTCGGACTTCAATTTCTTGACGGTCTTGGGGAAAGGGTCGTTCGGAAAGGTGAGAAAATTGAGCTTGACTGTCTGAGGAGTGGTTTGATTATATATTCAAGTCTTATTAGCCATTAAATCATCATTTTTCTACCGAATAAACCATTCATCTTCAACTTTCAGGTCCTTCTCGGCGAACACAAGCAAAGCAAAGAGCTGTTCGCCATAAAAATCCTCAAAAAAGACGTGATCATCCAAGACGATGATGTTGAATGCACAATGACCGAGAAGCGAGTGCTGGCGCTGCCGGAAAAACCTCCATTTTTGGTCACTCTCCACTCCTGTTTCCAGACCATGGACCGCCTGTATTTTGTTATGGAGTTTGTGAATGGCGGCGATTTGATGTATCAAATTCAGCAAGTTGGCAAGTTCAAGGAACCTGTGGCAGTGTGAGTGGCTTGGATTTAGGATTTTCTTGGGTTTAGATTAGAGGTGGCAATCGGGCTGGGCCGGCCCGGCCCGGCCGGGCCCGGTGATTGGGCCGGGCCGGGCCGGAAGGTTAATTATGTAAAAAATGTTTAATGCTAAACCAGCAAAATACAGCACAAATGCTTTGTATAATAGAATGGATGGAAATTAGATTAAACCTTTTTTTGACTTATACTCTGTTTTACTACCTTTTAAAATTATGTATATGTATGTGTAACTTATTATGTATATGTAAAGTCCCACCCAAATATGCAAGGGTCGGGCAAAAACCTTCGAATTTTTTATGATAAATTTAAAAATCTCACTGTAATTTTGATTCCTTGATGTAAATGAAAGTGTTTAAACAGTTTTTGGTTAATGTACCTTATAACGTCCATACTTTTATATAGCTAACTTCCTATAGGATTAAAAAATTCAACACAATCCAACTTTTTGGCTAGGTTTTTTTTTAGTTTTTTTTTCTATACGGATGTTCCAGTCATCCGACTAGACTTTTTAATTTCACGCAGACACACGTAAAAACCTTGTGGAAGGCATAAGAACTTCCAGTAGAAAGTGCAAAGACTTTATCCAACTTTTCTGTATTAGCGGGCCAAACCGGGCCGGGCCGGGCCGGGCCTGAGCAAATTTGAAAAAGCCCTGGGCCGGCCCGATTGCCACCTCTAGTTTAGATCAACTACTGGTCGATTTCTAAAAGCAATCGAGATCTTTTAATTTTTTTAAAATTTGAAATTTTCAAAAATTTTATTTTGATGCCATTCACTGAAATTTTTTTATTTCAGATTTTACGCTGCTGAAATTGCCGTTGGCCTCTTTTTCCTCCATTCGAAAGGAATTATTTACCGAGACTTGAAACTGGATAATGTGATGTTAGAGAGGGACGGTCATATCAAAATCACCGATTTTGGAATGTGTAAAGAGGGAATTGTGGATGGAAACACGACCAAGACCTTCTGCGGAACACCAGATTACATTGCTCCGGAGGTAAAATTCACATAATTTTTTTTTACTCGCACCATGCAAAAAACAAGGAAGAAATATTGCACGGTGCAGCCCGATTTTAGCCTATTTTTCCCGTTGCACGGTGCAACGCGAATTTCGGCCTATTTTTTCTATCGCACTGTGCAGCCCGATTTTTAGCCTATTTTTTCCGCCGCACTGTGCAGGCCGGTTTTTAGCCTATTTTTGCTACTGCACGGTGCAACACGAATTTTGGCCTATTTTTTCCGTCGCACTGTGCAGATCGATTTTTAACCTCTTTTTCCAATCGCACAGTGCAACCAGAATTTTAGCCAAATTTTTGCCGTTGCACTGTACAGGAATAAAATATATTTACAAATAATTTAAAAAATCAAATTGAATTTTAAAAATTATAAAATAAAAGATACAGTACATCATTTCAAAATCCAACCCCCTCAAATTCCAGATCATTCTCTATCAGCCATACGGAAAGTCAGTTGACTGGTGGGCCTACGGAGTTTTATTGTTTGAAATGTTGGCCGGCCAGCCTCCCTTCGACGGCGAGGACGAGGATGAGCTCTTCACCGCAATCACCGAACACAACGTCTCCTATCCGAAGTCAATGTCCAAGGAGTCGGTGCTGATTTGCAAAGGCTTCTTGCAAAAAGCCCCCTCAAAACGGTTGGGGTGCTCTCCACAAGGCCAACGGGACATTATGGTAAGGTTTTTTTTGGGACGCGTAGAAAGTTTTGTAGTCATCAACACTTGGCTTGTGGTGATGATTAGAAAAGCGCTCGAAGTGCGACGCTCAGATTTCTTCTAAATTTTGTCCATGCAATGCTCATGTACCACGCATGAATTCGCGAAAGTTTTGGCTGGCGATTTGCAGAGAGGTCTAAGATATTCAGCCGTCTTTGCGGCCGAGAGAGTACGCAAAACGCGGAGAGCGGTCAGGGAGAAAAACACTTTTTGGCCGTATCTTTGCCAGCTTCGGCGAAAAAAAAATTTTTGTAGAAATATTACAAGGTAGACATGTGTAAAAATTTTTGTATCAAAAGTAATCAAAAAGTAGCGGATTTGTGCCAACTTTCGATCTAAAAATCTCGGTTGTCTCTACAAAGCTAGGGCCAGAAATTCAGGGTGTGCTATATATAGGTATACCCTAAATTAGAGCCAAATTTCTTTGAGGCACTTTCCCTCCAAACTATTTAATTTACAATTCTTTAGGAACATCCCTTCTTCCGACGAATTGACTGGCTGAAGATTGAAAACCGACAAGTTCAGCCGCCATTCAAGCCCAAAATTGTAAGTTTATCCCTCAAAAAAATGGTGACACACCGTTCTTTCTAGTCTACAATTTTTTTGCAAAAACTATGACATTTTTCCCACAAAAATTCAAATTTTTCCAAAAAATTTCAAAAATCTCAAATTCTTCGACTTTTATTTTTTCTATCATTTATTACTGTCGTATGGCTTTACATATTGTTTGGTGGTGGTGTTGATGTTGTTTTGTACCGTTGTGATTTTAGAGCGACGCACATTCCACCGAGAATTTCGATCTGCAATTCTTGCGGCTTCCCCTGAAATTGACCCCTCCCGAATGGGACGTGTTGGAGAATCTGAAGGGTGATGAGTTCGCGGAGTTCAACTACACGAATCCGGCGTATCATGAGGAGGCGGCGCCGGTGCAAATCGAAATCCCCGTGGCGAAGAATGGCACGGAAAACTGAGGGGTTTCTCGGGGGGAAATCACCGAAAATCATCGATGTTTCTTGCCTCATTTGTGATTGGCGGGCAAACCTCTGTACAGCGAATCGCAGAGGACCTAAAGAACCCAGAAAGAAATAAATGTTTTATCGAAAAATTTTGTTGCTTTCAGGCTTAAAACTGACTTTTTTGGCCTACAAAATTACTCGTTATAGACAGGTTCTTCGGTACGAAATTCGTTGTACAGAGGTTGCATTGTATTTCGGCGTTGTTGGTAGAAAATGTGATTGTCTTACGGTATTGTTGTTCATTGATGCTTACTGGTCGTTATTGGACATGTAACTTGCAAAAAAATCTTTTTTAAATTTTGACATTTTTGCTTATCAACCTGTTTTTCAATATAACAAAAAAAGTTCTACCGCAAGATATGCCCATATAACCCCAGAAGCCAAACTTTTTTTAAAATTTTTTGGTGCTTTCTCTCTCTGTCGTCATATCATTACTCTTTTACTTATCTTCACTGGTATATCATAGTCGACGTATTGTACAGTAATTACGAGTTGTTAGATCGAGCAAAAACAGTGTCTGTGGAACTGATCGCTTCAACGTGTTTGCGACAAATCGACGGCCTTAAAAAGTCATCGTATTTGGACCAAAGTCTCGGGAGTTTTCCTATTCTTTCTAGTATTTGTTTTTTTGTTGTAAGTAGTAGTGTAATATTGTTGTTGTTTTCGTCACCGAACTTTGGTCTGCCTTGGCAACAGTCTGCTGATTCAAAACTTATAAGGGAAGTCTTTGACGGGGGTGTGGACAAAATTGGATAAAAATCGGCGCAAATTTAAAATATTTACAGTTTCTCTAGCCGACTCTCTTTGTTTTACATGTTAGCACACCTCAAAGACTTCCCCTGTCAGATTTTTATGATTTTTTTTGTTGCGTCAAAAGTCTGTTGCCATACTTTTTTAAACTCATAAGGAGTTGACTTGTCAAACACGAACGACTGTTCACCATGTTATATCATTTTTTTTCAAATTTCAATGTGCCAATTTGTATACACAAAATTACCAAATAAATTAATCCTTGGTTAGCATCGCAAATCGCAGAAACCCGCTTCTTTTTATAAATCTATACGTAAATAGAAGCTCAAACCAGGTGGTAGTCACTGCCATTATAGAGTTTTAATAATGATTTCTAACAAAACGAATCTTAACAAAAAAATATTGGCTATACTCCCGGACATATCTCTCTGACCACCATCAGGAAGTTTTGTCCACCAATTTTTGGAAAATCTGCATAACTCGCCTAAGGACCGAGACACGAAAAACAATTTTATGTGGCAGATTCTGCCTGTCATGACTAGTATTACATATGCCAAGTTTCAAAAAGATTGCGTTATATTCAATTCAGATATGGGTGGTCAGAAATTTATGTCCGGGAGTATCGTTGTACGGAGGTTTATTTTGGGCGTTCTATTGATTTTTAAGACTTCGGTGACTGGTTGTTATAGAGACATCTTGTTGTGTGAGCAATCGTTGTGCATAGGCTTTACTGTATTCGAACTAATTCCAAGCAAAATGTTAATTTTTCTATATTACAGTAAGACCTCTGTACAAAAAAACTTGCATACAAAAAAACCTGTCTATGACAAACAGTTTTAGATATCCCACAACTCAGTTCTTGGCCAAAATGAATCTTCTTACAACGAAGTCTTCCTATAACGAAACCAATTTTTCGTCCCTTTCAAGTTCACAAGTTTAGCTGCGCTTATCTTGAGCTAAAATTTTCGCTTTATAACAACACATCCCCCAAAAGCTTGTCTAACCCATTAACCCCGCTAATCCAATTTTTGCAGCGTGGAGCCGACGACGTCAGCAACTTCGACGCCGAATTCACGCACGAAGCCCCGAAACTAACACCCGTGGATCGACTGTTCCTGATGAACCTCGACCAAAGCGAGTTCGAGGGCTTCACCTACGTCAACCCCGACTACGTTCCGCCGGTTTCACTGACTTATAATTCAAATGGCATTTAAAAAGAGTCTCGTTGTGTAGATGTGACGTCTAGTCAGTTTCATTTTTCCACATGGTGCCAAATTATGAGCAATGTAGAAGTTGTTTTTACCTGTGTAGTGTTATAATCTCTTTGCAAAGCAATTATTCAAATAATTCTAATTGGTGTTAATAAATGTTGTCCTAAATTTGCAATTCGGAGATAATCTGGGCGATAATAGATAAGAAAAAAATGACATATAGAATTAGCATTTATTCAAATTAATACTGTCGTCTACAAGAGAAGGATTACAAACGAACTCTTTGGCAGGGAATTTTGTCTTTGTTTCGATCGGGTTACGAAAAGCTGCGTAGAAATTTAGGCGAAATACGTACTATGGGCAAATTAAGACGTGAAAAACGTTATGTGGACTGGCAGCATTTAATGGGCAGTTGCAGATTGGCTGGACCGCTGGATTAGGGTGGCACGTTCCTGAAAAAAGGGGCATAAAAGTTGAAAAAAAGATGGCAGTTTCAAGGGATTTCGAAAAATAAAAGTGTTGGAAAACCTCTGTACAAAAAACGCCAAAAAAATTGTTCGTTATGGAAGGGTTTAGTTCTAGGAAGGTTCATTTTTCCCAGGATTTTTTCCTAGGACCTCCGAAAAAAGAGATTATAGAAGGGCTTCGTTGTAGGAAGGTTCTTCTTTGTGACCTCCGAAATTGTTCGTTATGGAAGGGTTTTGTTGTAGGAAGGTTCATTTTTCCCAAGATTTTTTCCTAGGACCTTCAAAATTGTTCGTTATAAAAGTGTTTTGTTGTATTAGGGTTTGCTATATAGGGTTTAATATTGCGTAAATGCCTCAATGATATGATATGCCTAGTTTTTCTCACCTCTCCTTGAGTATTGTAGAGAATGGTCTGGACGTTGGTGCCGGAGCCGAATGACTCCTCGGCGTCGAAGACCAGTTGTTCCGGGGGACTGTGGATGCCTTGGTTGCGGGCCCAGATCTGAAATATTCAAAATGAACCCCACAAAAATTAACAAAAAAATATATACTACAGTAAATTTGGAAAACCTCAAAAAATCGTCCCAAAATATCAAGAATCTTTATAAAAACCCCCCAAAACTTGTTCGGTTCCACCCTACCTTCACAGACTTGCCGGGGCGCAACACAAAGTCACGGGGGAAGGTGTAGACAATGTCGCGGCGGTTGTCGATGCGACGTTTCAGCTTCCATTCACCGATGTGCTCCTCGCGGGCGCGGTGGGTGTTCTCCAGGATAATGAAACGACCTTCGGGGTTGGCCTCGTAGATGGAGACGTTGCCTTTGGCGGAGCGTTGGTAGGAATGACGGCTGGAGGTCTCGCCGCGGAGAACGCGGGTGGATTCTGGAAAATCGATGATATATATGCATTTTTTAAATATATAAGGGTAAATATTCGGGCCAACTGGTCATGATCAAGGATAAAATATAATTGAAAATGATATTAGGGTGAACCAAAAATTTTTTCCGATTTTTATATATCTTTTTTTCCAATTGTTTTTTTACGAAATAAAGATTTTTATATGAATGTATTACACATATTTTTAAAGGTCTTGAACTGCTTTATCATAATATATATTAAAACTTTTAATTGGCCTGTTTAAAATCTTTTTATAGCTACCCCAATTCCTAGGCCTTCTTACCGCTCTCATTGCTCTCCTTGACATGATGAGTCCGATAGACCTGCTCAACCAGCTGCCTCAGACCGGCACGATCCTCCTCTCCCTCCAACATCTTCCTGTAGATCGCGATCTCCGCGTCCAACGTCTGCTTCGTATCCAGCAACATTTGCAGCTCCACCATCAGCATTTGGCATTCATCGCGGATCTTGCGGATCTGCGTATCCCTATCGTTCAACGCACTCTCATACGTTCTTTGATCATCTTCAAGCTGATAGTTCAACTCCTCCAACTGTTTCTCCAACAACGAGTTGCGGCCCTCGAGGTCGGCCAACTTTCCGCGCAGCTCGCTGACCTGAGAGCGCAGCCGTTTCACCTCTTCGTAGGCGTAGGACTGCTCCATGGAGTGACGGACGGATTGGGTCTGGATCTCCTGGACCTTCAGCTTGTACCAGCTCTCCATGTCGGTGCGGTTGGCGGTGGTGAGCTGGTCGTAGTCTTGGCGGATCTCGCGGATCGCGGCGGCCAACTCGTTCTTGAAGTATTCGCGGTTCTCGCTGGTGGTGTCACGAGATGCCATGGCCTGGAATTTGGGTGTGATGACAAAATAAAAGTGAGGTTTGAAGCAGAAATTACTTTTTGAAATTTCGGCTTAATTTCTGCTCTGTTATTAGCTTCAAAATACTAAACTCGGTTCAATTTGCCTACTCTAACAAGGCCAAGGTGGCTTCCTGCATCCTAAATCATCAACTCACCTGAAGATCCCTAATCTCGGACTCGTGAGCCCTTCGCAGGAACTCAATTTCCTCGAGCAAGGTCTGCGCTTGGTTCTGATAATCGATCCTGTTCAAGGTCTCCTGATCCAAGTCAGTTCTAGCCCTCTGAAGTCCAGTGATCAAGTACTGGTTCTCTCTCTTAATACTGGCAATATCTCCCTCCAAATTGGCGATGCGTCTCTTCAGCAAGCTCACTTCACTTTCCAGCGCACTCAGTCTTAGCAACAGCTCCTCCAACTGATCCCGGTTGATCTGGCGCGACTTGACAGCATCGTCGTATTTACGGCGGTATGCAAGGATGTCGTCTTGCAGTTGTTTCAGCTGATCGGCCAAGTCAAAACGGTGCTTTTCAGTCTCGGCCAGCACCTTTCTCGCTTGCCGGAGATCTCCCTCGTACATGTCCTTCACACTACTGCTGTCATGGCCCCAACGGGAGCGGAGGAATTCCAAGTCGGTGCCGAGTTTTCGGTTCTGCGCTTCCAAGAAGCGCACCTTCTCGATGTAGCTGGCCAGGCGGTCGTTCAGGTCGGACATCTCCTTCTTCTCGCGTTCACGAGTGTCGCGGATGGTGGAGGCGGCAGTGGATCCGCCATATGGGCTGAAGACGGCTCCACTTCCGATGGATGAGGATTCAGTGACAATTTTGAGGACACGGTTGGAGCCGAAGCCTCCTTCTGTAAAATTAGAGGGTTAATAGAGGGAGAAATTTCGCAAGGAAAGTACTTTTATGGGGGCTCCCACTTTTTGACGGGACATATATCAAAAAATCAGAAAATTAGTGCTGATCAAGGATGTTTAAAAATTAGCTGCCCAATTTAGGGTTTTAGGGGTGAAAAATCAATCGCAAGTTGAGTTAGGGTAGGAAAAAAAGAAGTGTACAGTTTTTAGTCAACTTACGAGGAGACAACGCCCGGTTGGGCCTGCTGAAGTTGGCACGCGACTGGATGTTGCTGCGGTATTCTGTTTTTGATTCCATTCTGAAATTTGCTGATTAAAAATAATCACAGACTATCTTAACTATCATCAAGTCAACTCAAATTTTTTTCAAACCCCAATTTCCCAATCAAAAAACCAATCCCCGCAGCCCGATCCTCAATTCCCTCCTCGCGCATCAAAACTTTTCAAAATAAACAAATCGCAACGGTGGGGGCCCCGCAGGCAATCAACAACCTCTCCAACAGCTCCGAGAGTCGGGTTACAGCCCCACCAAATTCCGTCTTCCAGCACGCCCATCCCGAAAAACCCTCAGGTAAACATTCCAGCCGGTGTTGTTTACAATGACCTCAGCGCGCGAAAAGGGCGGCTAGCTGGAGGAAGCGCGCCTGGAAAAGGAAACGAACGTGAGCGGGACCTGTACCAGAGTATCGCTCCGTATTTTCCCCGCCGTTCGCAGCTCCCTAATCCCCACAAAAAAAGAGGGCTTGATCCATATGCGTCCGTGAACAACAGGGTAGAGAGGGGAGGAATGGAGGGTGTTCATTATGCTTGACCGATAATATGCGGGTCGTTGCATGGGTTTGTTCATTACGTTGGAGGGGAAAACAACGTTTTACGGATTGTTTTATTTTGCGCAATTGGGGATTTTGACCGTTTTGGAGGGTAAAGTTTTTGATGCTACATAGATTTTAGGGCCTAATGTTTACAGTGAAAGTTCTGTAGAACGATCGGAAGCGATTAAAAAATTTGTTTGTTATAAAGAGGTTTTGTTTAGCTTTATTTTGGCCAAAAAAATTTACTTCTGGAATCTATGAAATTGCTCGTTATAGGGAGGTTTTGTTGTACGGGAGATAACTATTCGACGATTCCGGAGTAACAAAAATTTTTCATCTTACTACTTTTAAATTACTATACAGAACATCCTCCTGTTTGGCAATCGTTTATCTTGATCGAAAATTTACTCTTTGGGCCGCTGAAACTGATTGTTACAGAGGATTTTTTACTGGAGCTTATTATACCTAGGTATTGTTATAAACTTTATCATAGTTTAATGATCATAAAAAGTTGTTTGTCTAACAAAAAACGCATTTTTTGTCTACATTTTAGATCAAATTAGCTTCTAAAAATACTATGATGTCTTTAACAGGCTACATCTCAATTTGTTTCCTCACATTCTTTCCCCAACGCTTCCCCAACAACACCTAAACCAAGTCCACCAACCATCCCCGTTGACTTACTTCGAAGACGGCTCGCTGATTGGGTACTTCAACTGGGTAGTGGAAGCCAGTGGCGTCGCTGAATGCGTCTTCGACGAATGGAGCGAGTCAAACTGAAATCACAAACAGGAATGAGTGATAAAAGGCCCGAAATTCTCTAGGCAGTTGTGTGTTATCAGTACGGAGAAATGCTCCGGTCGCTATAATAAAAAAAACCGTCGTTCCGGAACACTGCCGCACATTTATTGTTTATCAACAAAAGAGGGGAGACGGGGAAGTTTTGGAGACGGTCTTTGAGACGTCTCGATGATTAAGACGGCTGTTTTGTGATGCCAAGGGTTAAGAGTGAAGCCGAAGTTTGGAAATGATATTTTTGAGTTGAAAGGATGTCAAGATTTAGAATTAATTAAAATTAATTCTCTAGTCAGAAAATTGAAGTAAGACCCTAAAAAGCGGGCTATCCTTGATAAATACGGTCGGGTTGTAGCTTTACAACCACGAATGGTGACTCATAAAAGGCGTAGGCTTAATTACAGACCACTTTTTTGCCGATACAGAAGCCACACCCTCGCTTAATGAACCTCAAGAATTTCGAGATTATCAGTGGAAGCATCAAAAATTAAATCTCCAAATTGCAGGGCATATTTGAGTGGGCTTATCGACAATTTTTGACTGGAATAAAATATATTAGCTACAAAATCAAATCATCAAGTTACCATTACACTCTGCCGGGAAAATAATGAGCTTAACGTCGCATCGAAAATCGCATCCCCACCAGGCTCATTTTGCCCTAAAGTTCACTTTTGCGATCCCTAAAATTGTTCGTTATAGGCAGGTTTTACAGCAAATGAGTCTACCGTTCAAATGTTACATTGTAAGAAACATTTTTCATCTCACTACTCTAGAATTACTATACAAAACGCCCTCCTTTTCGGCAATCCCCAACTCCCTCCACCCGCGTCCTCCGTCGTCGTAAAAGGCCCGACGGTCGACTGATAAGGACGTTAATGACTCCCTCTACTCCAACAAAAACTGATTGTCATGTTTGGTAAACAAAATTCCAGCTTGCCCTTGAGGCACACCCCGCGTTTGCGAGGGCTTTACTCCCAAAAAAGCCGGTGTGATTCAGAATCTAAAGTCAAGGCGACGGAACGCAAACCTTGCCGGTCGACAGGGAGAAACAGTAAAGTGGATATGGAGAAAAAGTCACAAATAAAAAGATCAATTGAAATAAAGGAGTAAGGTCAAGCAAACGTAATTTTTTTGGCCGTAGAAAAGATGGAGTGCAACAGCAGCTGGATCTCTGTATAACAAATACCCCGTACGAGCATAGCTGTCTATAAAAAACGATTCCGGAGGTCTCAAGCCGTAATTTTGGCCCAAAATGAATCCTCGTACAAAAAGTCAAAAATTCTTCGATAACTGCGATTCGTTGCCGAGATTTAACTATACTTTTGAATATTGCAGTTTACCGCTTGACAAAACGGAATGTCCGAAAAGTTTCTTGGATTGTTATCATTCTTTACAATCAGATACCTCTACAAGGAATTGTAGGAGCCGAAAAAATTATTCTACACCAAGGGTTTTGTTGTACAGAGGTACTATTTGGCCAAAAAATATGCCTCATGGCCTCTGACATCATTCGTTTTCAGAGGGATCTGTTGTATGTATGTTCGTGGTACCGAAGTTGCACTGTGTTTGAGATTGGAAAGTTTCGTGGTAGGAGACAGAAAAAAACTTCTTTGACATCTCATTTCCTAAGCCGTAAAAAACGCAACTCAAAAGTAGCTGTACAGCCCTTTCAGAGATTAAAAATCATTTCTGATTGTAATTGTTTACAATCAGCGGCAACTTGAAAAGACCCAACCTTCGGACACTTTGACAACCTTTTTCAAAATCTTCAAAGCATTTTTTTGTTATTCCCCTATGTATTTTATATGTTCAGGACGATTAACGAGGGTCAGAAGAAGCCATTTTGAAGGAAATGTAAACACACGCAAAACCGGAAATTTTGATGAATCTCATTTTTGATTTTTTTGAATGTCAAAAAAAACTTTTTGGTTATGATTCATTGTCCATTTTCAGAAATTTTGTTGAAAAATATTCAGTGTTAATCCGAGATGCGTCAAAATTTACACTTTTGCGCCGAGAGCTTTTAATGTTTGCGACGACTGATCCTCCCAACTTCCTTTACGACGCTTATTCCAAAACGTATCATTTTCGGTTAAGCTGACGGGTAAACAGCAAGTTGAAGGTGGAGGTTTTACCTCGCAACTGGAAGTTAAGATCAAAAGACATTGATTTTGTATGGAAAAGGAAATTAAAAAATGAAAATTTGAAAGCTTATACACCAAAAACCTGGTGTATAAGTTTTTGCTGCCCTAATGAAATATCAGTCTGTCGGGAAAATAATGTGGTCGCAGAAAAATCTCTCGCCTTTTTCTGGTAGCGTACTAAATCACCAGCCGCGGTTGCAGAGCCATGAAGGGCGATTCCAAGGCTTGACAAATCCACATTATTTTCCCGAAAGATTGATAAGTACGTAGTCACAAAAAAAGCGTCGCTTATGCATAATCAAAATCTTGCGCATATTGTGCTTTGGCGGCCACAGGTCAATTCCTAAAATTTTTAGTTTGCGCTTTGCAGACGCAGCCGAGATATTCGACAGCCGCTGAGAGAGTACAAAAAATGCAGAAAGCAGAGAGAGGTAAAAACACTTTTTGTCCATTTCCTTGCAACTTTCGCCCGGAAAAATAGATTCGTTGAAGAATCATGACCCTATCCGTTAGAAACAAGGCGAAAACTTTTTGGAGAAATTCCCAAAAAAAGTGTCAAATTTTTACCAATTTTCGTACCAAAATTCTCGGTTGTTTCCCAAAAATGCGAGTCAGAAATCTCAAGTATGTCATACTGATATAAGTTTGTGCAAAATTGCGTTAAAATCTTTGAGAATTTGCACTGCAAGGTCAACAATAAGAATTTGCCCTAAGGCCGCTTAACAAAAAAAATTTTAAAACTCAAAATATTGACTATTATTTTCGTAAAAAAATACCTTCGAAAACATCCCAAACTCGCTTACTTTTGTGGATTTCTTCCCTTTCCGCACAAAAGACAACATTACAGATTACGCTGAGCCCTCGAAGGGCACAATAATATAGCCTTTTCGCGCGCGGAAGTCAATTTCGGATCTGTCAACGTCATAAACACTCTTTTGCATACCTTATATGGATCGTAGTCTCTGCGCGGGCGCTCTTCGATTTGAGCCATTCTTCGTCGCAGCTCTTCCTGAAACGAGGCGAAATTTGGATGACAAATGAAATGGTTTGAATATGACGTGATGCGATTATGAATATGAAAAAAAATTTTTTGGGAAAAGCCAGTTTTAATCGAGGTCAGCGGGGGAAATGACAGGTGAAGTGGGAGTTCTAGGGTAAAACATTGTATAACGTAACGCAAAATGCTGTATGCAACGGAATCTTAAAACTTGGATAATTACTGAGGTATCCGATCCTAAGCAGGCCACATGTCAAATCTTGAAAATTTGAATTCAAGGAGAAATTCTGATTTTTGAAAGTTTTCCCGTTGGCTTAAAGCTAACGAAAAATCGTTGTTTCAAAATTTGAGCCCACACTTTTCGGTCACAGCCCAGACTGTCGACGGTCTTCTTCCCAAGTAGATATGACTTTTCTGGACCGGGCCGGGCCAACCGCGTTTTCTGTGCGGGACGAGCAGGCATTTTTGGCCCGGACCGGCAAATTGAGTCTAGTCGAAAAATCAAAAATTTGTAGTATTAAAAATGGATAAATCAATAGGGAATATTTTGTAGATGTTCGAAATACAATAAGGAAATGAAAGCTGTGACAATTTAGCGCACTTTTTTTATTGTTTTAGTAAAATACTCTTACAGGTTTAACCATGCCTGGCCTGACTTTCAACGAGCAGCCTTGGCGCGGTCTGAGAGCCAGGTCAATTTGCGGGCCGACGCTTTGAAATGAGGGGGTCTCCAAAGCTCAAATTTTCAAAAAAATGCGAAAATTTTAACATCGTCCTATCAAAAAATCTCAAAGCTTTTCATCTAATTTTCAGAAAAATATTCTCAATTTTCAGCGACTTTCATTGAATGCTATCAGTCCCACGGTACACAATACTTCCTTCTCGAAAAGTTTCATCAAAGCTTGTGGACCGCATTCCAATCTATTTACATGTCAATATCAACTGCTCAATAACTATTCTCCAACCTTTAATCCGACTACTAGACCACTCATCCCTTTCCAAACCCAAATACCATGTAACCATTTGAATATCAAATCGAATATTACAAATAAAAACAATATTCCGACTGGTCTCTGCACAATGCCCGACAAAATTTGGAATGCAAATCCGGTTCGTAATGGCGCACTCGAGATCTGACCGCAAAACGATCAGTTTTGTTGTGCAATTGCAGTTCCGAACTTTAATTGCCTTAGAAAGTAAAACAGTTTTTGTTCCGAGTTCCTCAAAAATATGAACGAAAAGAACCTTTAGGGAATCGTTGAATAAGGAAGTTAAGTAAAAAAATCGAAAAATATAAGTTTTTTTTAAAATACGCTTTGCAATGACACTTCATAGCATTCATTTTTTGGAATCTGGCGGCTTAAAAATGATTTTTCCTATTCACAAAAGTCATATAAACACATCAAAAAATTTGGAATATTGCATAACTTGCGATGTCTAGACCTCGATTGCCCCCGCTAAGCGTTCCAAATGTCGTCAAAATCCAAAACGGACGGGATCTGCGGCGTAGAGTAAGCAGAATGAAAGCCGGGTCACATGTCCCTTACACGTCTAGCTACCTCTCCAAACTAACGTAGTTGAAGCTATAAGACTTCAATTTCCGATCAGATAATAATGCCATAATTTTTCTTGATTCCAATTTTACTTTCCAAAAATCCTTGCGAAAGAATTTTGTTACATTATATTTTTTGGTCAATTGATACTGCGTTGAAGAAACGTATAGACGGGCCAGGAAATGCGCTGGATTGACGTGGCTCTCCTAATCCCGCCTGATCTCCCAGGAAGAAAACCGTTAAAACTTTTGGCGACCCCTGACAGGTGTGAGCTGCAACTTTCAGGGATTTTTCCGTAGCCTGTTCACAGCGCATGTAAATTTTGAGGCAACTAGAAAGGCTCTCTTTTAAAGGCTTTTCTTCTAAAGACCATAGATCAAAATTAAAAATATCCCATAATATTCTCGACATACCTCAATTCTACGATCAAAGTCTTCCTGCGTTTCTTCGAAGCGTCTTCTACCGTACTCCGATGGTGGTGGCGCTGAGGGCTCGCGTTTTCGAGTTGTCACCTAAATTTAAGACTTCGTATTGTCGCAGTCATTTCAATAAAAATTCTTTGCTAAACTAAAGAGAAAGGCGTATGATGACATGACAACTAATGCCACAAGACCTTACCGTATTGATACTGGTAACAGTTTCTTCGAACCGACTTTCATCACTACTCCTCCTCCTTCTGACCGGTCGACTTTCCCGCGAAGTCGGGCGAACTGGCTCAAACTCAATGGCCGGGATTTCACGACCTCTTCGCATGATGTCCAAAGGCCCGGAATATGGCTCGACAAGATGCGAAAGATACGAATATTTGGTGATGGTTTTGTATTGGCTTTCGGTGAAGCGATGACGCGGCGAAGGCTCTATTTGACGGGTGACTGTGGTCGTTACAGTCTCGTCGGTCCGCTGAAAAAATCGTAGTACACAATCTTACTGTAGTATGTATAAAATTAACGTTTCCCCTTCCAATGACCGCTAATCCTACAGTAACAAAATGACCGATTGACCCCGAAAAGATGCAAAATGGACTATTTCTTTCAATTTCAATCAAGCGAATTCCTCGATTAGTGTTTTAAGCTGATTACTGAAGCCCGAGGAGACAGCTTGATCCGGAGAGTCATGTATAATACGAGAATGCAACAAAAGACGTTATGTATAACTCTTCTTTGTTTGCGGAAATATCAGTGATGTCTCGGAAAAAACGTGTGTTTCATAGGTGACTAGTTAGAGAGACAGTTACGTAATATCATAACGAAATTTTTATAGGAGACTTTAGGTCGAAAATATAGTCTATAAAAGGATTTTCAGGCCTCTTGAAGGCTAAAACACGACAAAGGATGACAAAAAAGTATGAATAGCTACCTTAATCTTGCGTTTTTTGAAGAGGTTCAAGTTAAAAAGATCTTATAAGGCTCTGAAAGTTTCTTGCAGTCAAAATTGGCCCATTATATTGTTAACCCAAGCTTCAGGTAGGTATCCCTTAAATTCGTTGACCTAGAAATGCCTTACAGTCCATCTACCGTACCCAAAGCACCACGCAACTTACCAGTTCCGGACTCTCTCTGGGCGTCCGCTCCTCCACTGCCTCCTCGTCCTCCTCATCCACGATGCTCAACTGTTCTTCCGCGTACATGTCGGTGTGAGGCCGTCTTCTGCGTCTAATCTCCATCTCCAGCTCCTCTTCGTACCGTATGTCCTGGCGCAGTCGGTCCAAGTAAACGCGCTCATCGCGCTCCTCTTCCAGCTGGCGTTGTTCGCGCTCTCTGGCCAGCCGATCCCTTTCGTCCACGTCTTGGCGAATCTTGTCCAGGCGCTCCTGATCCGCCCGTTCCAGTCGCAATCTTTCCTCTTGCTCCTTTTGCTCTTTCTCTCGTTTCTCTCTGATCTTCTCGCGTCTCTCCTTCTCGGCCTGTTCTTTTTGCAGTCTTTGAGCCTCTTTTTCCTGTTGCTCTCGGGCAATTCGTTGTCTCTCCTCGAATTCTCTGGTCTCTCTTTCGATTCGTGTGATATCTTCGCGCTCTCTGACCTCTCTTTCTCGAGTCTCTCGTTCTTCTCGTTCCCTCTCGATTCTCTCTCTCCTCTCATGCTCTTTTCTGAGTCTCTCTTCTTCTTCCCGTCTCTCTCTTTCCTCTCTAATTCTCTCTTCTTCCTCTCTCCGTTCGTCTTCCTCTTCTTCAACAATAGTTTCTACTACCAACAATTTTTTCGCCGAATCTGCAGGTTCGATCTTCTGAATATCCTCGGATTCCACGAGATCAACACCAATGGATTGCTCTTCTTTCACGACCACCTCTTCCACTGTCCGATGTCCAATGGGCTCGGGGTCGGTGAGTTCGCGGGCGTGCCCGGATTCCGAGCGGACGTGCTCCTCAATGTCGCGCGCCACTTCCTCCGACTCGACCAGCTCATCCGCGGGTGCGCGGACCGTTTCAACTCTCTCGGTAGAACTCTCCACCCATGTTTCCCCACTTGCCGGCCTACTGTACCTTTCAACGACCTCGGTGGCCACAGTAGGGCGATCTTCTTTTGTGGCCCGAGCGAGTTGTGGGCCGGGCTTTTGCTCGTACTTCTCGGTGATGATCTCTTGTTTGACCTCCTTTCTCAATACCCCCGTATAGCGAGGTTTATAGGGAGTGGGTGTTGACGATGCCAATGGCGAATCTCTTGCGTCTCTGGCATCACGTTCATATGTTTCTTTCTCCTCGATCTCCGAGCGAAAATGTTGATCGTAGTCGCTTTGTCGGGATTCTGATGACACTGGGAAGTTTGTAGAATCAGGATAAGCTGGCAATGGACTGAACGTTTCGTCATGTTGTCTTGAAGTATCGGCCGAGGAAGATCTCGGAGCCGGTGAGACTCCTTGCGAGCCGCCGCCGTATTCTCTAAAGCGCTTGGATTGTTTCAATATCTCAATTTTCTCTCGGAATTGTTCGCGATGAGGATCTTCGTTTGACGGAGTGTTCAGCGGAGTCGGTGAAGGCTCCAGGCTCTTGGGATGGCGTCGATAAAACTCTTCGTGAGTCTCGCGAGTAGTTGTAAAGTATTTCACCTTCGGTCTGGACGCTTCTCTAGGGCTGTCCGTCCTTGGAGAAACGTGAACTCCAGTGATGACTGCACGAGCCGCCTCTACACTTGGTTTGCCGTCCAAATTAACAATTGCCGGCTCTGGCGGGACAATACTGGTGCTAGTTGTCTTCTGCTTACTAGCTTCTTCTTTCAGCCTTCGAACTTCAGCCTGATACGTTTCATAGTCAATCTGCCGCAATGGCGTTGGTGGAGACCGCTTAAATTCGGAAGGCCTACTCTCAACGTCCACCGTGAGTTGACCTGGCGGGGGTGCTGAACTGTGACGTGTTTTATCGTCGCCATAAGACTTGAAATGATGAATCTGAGAGGTGTGGTAAGGTTGGACCTCTGTCTCCATTGGCCGGCGTCCTCCGAAAGTTCGGGAGTATCTCTCTTCCTCTACAATATGCTCTTCTTTTATTATGCGACGTCCGGGGCTGATGGCCGCGGGTTGAGGGGAGATTTGAGGGCCTTGGGACTTGGTGGAGAGGTATTCGTATTGATTGGCTAAAAAGATAGTAAATTATTCTTATTCAGAGATTTCTTTTTCTTCAAATTTATTGAGGTTCTACGGAAGATATAGTTGATTTTTTTACTGTTAGAAAAAAATATATCAATCGGTATCACGTATTTTAAAATGATTTAATCATGTTTCCTCTATTATTAGAGAAAAATTATTTGACCTTGCCGTATTTTACAAACTTGCAAGGACAAAAAAAAATAAAAAATAAATTGTTTTTTCCCAAACATCCTAAAAAATTGGCTGCTAGGAAAAGCGGCTTGTTTGCGCAAAGGTTTGAAAAAACAATACAAAAAACCTTGTTTACGCGACATTCAGATCATCATGACCTACAGATCAACAAGAACAACTATATAGATAAAAAATTACGGATCATCTATGTATAACTATAGCAAGTCTAGTAATATGAACAAAAATTTTTTTTGATATAGTTAAAAGAAACTCACAGTCATCGTATTTTCCGTAGTTGATGGTGCCATCTTCGTTGTACCGGGTCAACCCTCGAGGCGATACTCGGCCCACTCTTTCTTCCGTTCTTTCAGCGGCACTTTCGGGTCGAGATTTGCGAATCGGACTGCTGGAATGATACTCGCTGACGTGACGCTCATATGTGACATGATGCTGCCGACCTTCTCGCTCATAGTTGTCTTCAACGCGCTCGTAAACACGACCTTGATTGTGGACTTGGGGCTCGGGTCTGAAACAGGGAAATGAAAATGTGATTTTTGAAGAAAAATTCTAGATTTTTTTTGTGATTTCGACCGTTGAACTTTCTTTGGTGGCCAAGATTTTTTTTTTTTTTTTTTTTTTTTTTGATTTTGATGAAACTTGGTACAAATTAAAATTTATTCTTTCCGAGGCATATGCGAAATTAGTACCCTTCACGTTGCTAAAATTTTCAAATATTGATATTAATTCGTGACCTTGGCCCATGGCCAACATGTGTGCAAAAATTATACTAACAAAATGTAAGCAAAAAGTATCGCACGTCAAAAAAAAGTGAAATAACAAAGAAAGTCGGATCATTGATTTTTGACGAAATGGCGCCGGATTGTCACAAAGAAAACTTTCCCAGAGAAAAATTTTTTTTTGAGAAAAATGATTTTTCGAATTCGATAATGTGGCACTTCGCAAAAAATCAATGATCCGAGATTTCTTGTTTTATTTTTAAAATACGACGACTGCAATTTTCCAGAAAAAATGACCACTTTGTATGTGTGACAAACCCTTGTACTATTTAACCTGTCCATAAAAAAAATTTCATACAACAACCCCGCTCTATAAAAAATAAATTTGTTGGCCCCATTGTTGTAGAGCTCTGACTCTATTGAAAAGTTCTTCCCCTATTTAACTTACAGTAACTTATCCGGAAGAACAATATCTTCCAAAAGATCAAGACAATTCTGAACACACTGCGATTTAATGAGAGCGGAGAGGAAGCTCATTAACACCGGAAATTTATAGCGTGTAATATTTGCATAGCATATGCGTAACGGAACTTTCACGGAAATACGGGATAATCTTATGTAATGGCGAGATACGCAAACATAATTTTTACGGAAAAAAGTATATTTATTTTTTGTAAAATACGCCTTTACTACTCGGATGATGCTTACCTAAAATACCCAAAGTCAATCAAATATCGTATCACAACAGCATTTATCACACGATTTTTGTTACATCTTGGCATTTTTAGATAGGAATTACAGTCGTAATAATATTACTATAGCAATCCAAATTAAAAGCAATTTTTTTTCAATCAATTTTGGTTATTATATAGTAATGATTCCTGAGAATACAATAAAAATCGGGAATATTGTAAAGAAGCCGTCTGTAATATTGTTATTCAGGCTTGAATGGGAAATATTGGAAGCAACCTTTTAATGGCTATAGCGCTGATATTTAAGTTTTTGATTAGAAAGTGTTGTGAAATAAGTTGATTTTTTAGTTGATTTTTAGGGCAAAAGTTGATGAAAAAATTCAAATTTTTTGCAATTTTTTCTTTTAAAATTTGAAGTTCAATTAGTCAGACGTTAATTTTTTCTATAAAAAAAGATAAAATTTTGCGATGCAGAAGCTTAAAGTTATAGTGAAATTTTACCTCGCCGGCTCCTCATTTCCTGTGCTCTCTCGTAAAAAGAAACTATTCTTGCTTCGGGTCATACAAAATTAGAATTTAATTTAAGATACCAAGTGTAACATATATACAAAAAAGTTTATTTTATATACATTATTCCTTAGTTAGACTGACAAATTGCAAAAAAAAAATTTCCTAATTTTACATAAAGTATAGTCAGCAAAAATTGCCAAATATCTCAGCTACTCCTGTTACAAAAAAGGGGGATAATTTTTAGTAATTGCTATGTAATCTATGTACATCATCTATGCAAAATTTGAAGCAAAGACCCCCATCATATCTCAAGCAACTCCATTCTAAACTTACTCTATCTCATCAACTTCCAGACAAGCCATTTACAACAATTTTTGACCAAAATATCGGTCAAAAATCGCTCTCATTAGTAAAATACGCCTCACAAATATCAGCAGATATTTTAAAAATCCGCAGGAGGCTTGAATTTCATATTTCGTGGGGAATAAAATCAAATTTCCTTATGCAAAATCACTCGCCCACCTTGAATAAACAATGTATAATACCCTCCAAGATCAGCGCGATTACTCATTTCTGGTTAAACAAAACGTCAAACGGCTTAATAATCGAGCGCAAAGGTCAAAGGTAAACTTTTGAAATCAAAGTTTTGAGCTTTGAAATTTCAAAAATTTTTTTGAAAAATGAAAAAAAAAGAAAAATCCGAGTAAAACCCCAAAAACTGGTCTCAAAAATGGACAGTTACTCAAAATGACGTAGAATTTTTTGTTTGTCAACGTGATTCTTTGGGGGTTTCAAGTACTCTTGACGCCGACTACGTGGGATGGATTTTGCAAATATAAAAATTCTGAATTTTTCGCATTTTTTATTATTTTTAAGAAAGATTTTACTTTTTTCCTTATACGGCAAGTATTTGACATGCTGAAGACATATTAAAAAATACAAAATGTCTTTCAAATCTTACCTTTCTTCTGTTTTCACCTCTCTTTTTCTCAGCTCTGCCTCCTCTTTCCTCTTTTTCTCTGCCGCTTCTCTCTCTTTCCGTTGTCTCTCAAATCTCTCAAAAATGGAAGTTGTATGTGTAGTTTGCTCGGTTGTTGGCTTCGGAGACACTCTTTCGATTTTGACTGGCGTAGGAGATGTCGATTTTTGATCAGCTAGAATTTCTCATTACATAAATGATTGGAGAAAGCGATCCATTTTTAGCGAATCTTGCCAAGAAAAGGGGATATTTATTTCTACTGTAGAATGTAATATTTTTAGTAAAAATGATTTTTGCCACGCTTAAATGGCAGAGATATGGCTAAAAACTTTTTTTCTCTTTATGACCCGGCTATCCACATTTTTCACACTCACTCGGTCGCAAAGACCGTTGAGAAACCCGGTTGCCCCTGAAAGGCGCAAGCTAAAATTTTGAGGGATTGCTATGGGGCTTAGACCCAAACTGTCCGCAAAAGCTAAGAAGAAAATCTGAAAGGTGTACTTGGAGAGTTCCCGTTCTGGAAAGGCCCGAATGCCAATTTGTCTTTTGATGCCCAAATACTAGTTTGTCGGGAAAGTAATGAGTGCAACGCGGCTACGTCGATCGCGCCGCTGAAGTGAAAAGCAATTTTATTTTGTCGCTACACAATTTATTTCCTCGGCGGCGGCGATATTTTTGAAGTAACATAGTGCTCATTATTTTCCCGACAGACTGATTTCAACTTTTTTTATTTAGTTATACTCACCCTTGCCTCCATGATGATGATGAAGAGTGGTCTTGCTGTGCGTGGTGACCGCAGTTGTTGTCTTGGTTTGCTCCAATTTCCGTTTTCCCTTTTCTTCCAGCGATTTCAACGCTGCCGATTGGAATCCTCTCACGCTGCCTTTGGGGCTACTCTGAGCTGAGGTTATTTTGTAAATTGGTGGTGATGACTGCGGAGAAACTTTTGGACTTTCAATCCGTCGTAGGCCAACTGGGACGTTGGTGGAGCGCTGATAAGTTGTTCGTGCTTCGTATGAGGTATTTAGCTGGAAATCAGAACGTAACTTTGAAGGTTTTTGAGATTTTTTGCTATTTTTGTGAGACTTTTTTGAAAAGTTAGCATACCTGTTTAACATTCAGCCCGGTTCCGCGACCAGTCTCAATGTCTGTTGGTTTCCTCTCCCGTTTAAACGGCTCTTTGTCATAGACTTTGTAGGTCTGTCCGACCTTCCCATCGCCGCTCCAGTAGGGTTTTTGCGCATAGACTGGGAATTGCGTGTGCTCAATCATGTCCGAGCCGACCTCGCCCAACGGTGTTTGGGCGGATCTCAGGACGGTGGTGACGTGAGCACTCTGCTCGGAATGTTCATGATCTAAAAGTTTATGGAGGTTAGGGGATTTCCTTTATCTCAAAAAATCAGGATGGATTGGCATTGAAAGTCTCATAGGATTATATTATTATATTTTATTATAGTAATTACGTTTATGCAAAATTTTGAGAAAATCTGAAAAATTGTTGGACTTTATGGCAACCTAGGAAGTCTTCGCCATAAAAAATTAGTTTTCCATGAGAGTCATCGGTGGAAAATAAATAATTTCCAGATTATTTTATTTTATTTGGTTTTGACATTTCGCTTGGACGAAACTCCAAAAAGGGCGGAGGCATTTCGATTCTCTTTGAGTTGCTGTGGAATTCAAACACAGAATATTATAGACCAGCTGACCGGTATGTAGTCAAAAAAATAAGTGCTTCGGATTCATGCAATGTCAAAACGGATAAAAAAATAAAATTCTGGACTTTGCCCTAGATAAAATTCCAAAAATTCAAACCGAAGTCTTATCGGTACTACTCAAACACCGAGATGTATAAAAACAAGGAACTTTGTAGTCAGTTAGAAAAAATTATTTTTTGTAAAAAAAAAATACTTTTTAACCAATAAATTTTCAGACACTTACATTGATAGACCATTTATAGCGAAATAAGATATTTTCCTCCAAAATATCCGGAAAGTAGAATACGAATACTACACCGCAAAGAAAGGGCTGGAAAAGATATCGGCAGCTGAATTTTTCCCACTTTTCTTTTCGAGAATCAACGCAAATAATGATAAGAATATTAGCGCGTCCGTTTTTGGACAACAAAAAAGTTTTTTCGCGTGATTACGAAACAGCAATGTGAGCAAAAAAATGTGACAGTTTTTTTGGAGGGAAAATCGTAAATTTCAAAATTTTTGTCACAGATAGGCTTTATTGGAGGGTTCGCTGAGTGTGGGAAGCGTAATTATTTTGATAACGCTGGAATTTACAGCATTTTTGGGGGGAATTGGGCGTTTTTATAAACAAAAATGTAAGAATGACGTCATAAAATCAATAAAAATTTTATTTTCTAAAAAAAAATACAAGTATTCATAAGGTTTTTGGTTTCTTTTTTGTTTTGCTCCGATTGACTTGATTTTTGGCATGAGGGTTGCTTAAGACTGTCTCATCATAAATTTGAAAAAAAATTTCGAAATTTTCAATTTTGAGTGACCTATGACGTCACGAAAAGTCAAAACTTTGAGCTACCATATCTCGCTTTGTTTTATAGGTATCGACTTGAATTTTGGTTTCGTCGCGTATGGTACATAATGGGACAATCACTGTCGAGATTTTTTCGAAATTTCAAAATTTACAAAAAAAATCTCAAAAAATGACCTTTTTTCGTAAACGTTTGACGCGTCCAGCTTTATTGAAATGCAAGCTTCTACAGGTCCATATCGGAAAAGCAAATTCATAACTAAGAGATATCTCAATGTATGTGTAGATACGGCCATGTACAAAGTTACACTTCCAGAAAACCCCGTCATGATGACGGATTTTCTGCATTTTTTCGATTCCATTGAATTCTACGTACCAAACTTCCTATTAGGTTGTGTCTTTCTTTTTGTAGTGCACTTCGTATTTTAGCCATGGCTTACTGTAAAAAATACGATTTGCACAGTGCAAAGTTCGACAAAATGGTTCTCGGCTCCCAGGTCGAAATTCAAAAAAATCACTCGCAAATCTTATTTTTTTTGCCCGAAGATTGTCCCCAAACTTTTTCAGAACATTCTACGTAGCCATCTCCTCAAACAAATCTCCCGACGGAAAACGCAATTTTTCGAAATTTTCAAAATTTTGACTTTTTCAAATTTTTCTCCCTGATGAACAACAACGACGTCAAAAACGTCCAACTATGGTTTGTAGAGCTCAAAGAGGTCTACACATTACCCGCTTACATCTTCAGCGTATCTTTAAAATTACGGTCGTCAGAGCGGCCGGAAATTTCGGTCGATTTCTGGTGCACTGTGCGAAAAACATTGCCCTCAGGGCAATAAGTGAGGTGGAGAAAATTGATCTCACGGGTACTATAGGACACAAAATGAACTACCATCGTGTCAAGTTTTAGCTTTCTATCTCCAATATTCCGTGCGCACTGTGGCTCAGAAAAAAAATTCGAAATTTTGCCCGAATTTCGGCCCTGAGGGCTTGAAACGGATTTTTTTCGGATTTTTATTGCCACTATCGTATTCAGCATAGCAAACTGACGTAGAAACAGGTATCGACTCCTAAAATACGGACAAGGTGAAAAGGCAGTGTTGAAATTTCCGAATTTTTGGATTTTACTTACTTTGACGAAAGTTACCATAGCTCGGGAACAAGGTCGAAATTCAAAAATCGCCTCGGTTAAATGATAGCGAGTCGCAGTATCACTCTACAACCGGAATATAGGAGATGTACAAACAAGTTATGAACGCAAATCGTGTGAACCCCGGAGGCACCCAAAAGTCAAAATTTTGTAAACCCGATTTTTCTCTAAAATTTCCAACTAAAATTCGTCTAAAAGTTACATATTCGGAATCTCCATGTCATTTCGGACATGGTCGTATCTTTTCCCCCGGTGCTTTTAGTGCAACAAGTGCCAGTTTTGAAAAAACGCCCACTTCCATGACCGAAAACACAAGAAAAGAGCGCGGCGAAGAGAGAGAGCGGGCAGAGAACCGCTTCCTTCTTCGTTTGGCGGGAGAAAAGAGAGAGTGAGAAAGGTGTGGAGGGTGGTTAGACAAAGGTTTTCCCTTTCGATCCGGGTCAGAGATAAGACGGAGAGAGTGCTGAGTGTGAAGAGGGTGGTACGGAAACTGTCATCGTGACGCGTAATGACGGGGATTTCTGGATTTTTTCGAGAAATTTTTGTAAAATTATTTTTTTGGTCCTGGATTCTCGGGATTTGGCCGTTTTAGGGCCAAATTTGACGGGGAGTTCGGGAAAAATATTATCTAAGGATACTTTTGAGTGCTGAGTCCTTTTTTTAGTTGATTTTTGCTTATTTTATGTGATTTTGATCAGCTTTTGGTGGAAGAAAAATTATTTTAGGTAACAAAATGTAGTCCGTGGCGGCCGTAGGCCGTCGCCTCATGCCGGCGGGCTCTTTAGTCGAGCTTAGCGATCTGGAACTGACCTGAGCTTAGCGATTAGGGTAAGCTTAACAATCTTAACTTCTCGATCTAAAACAAAGTCGGCATAGCGTTTTGAGCGCTGCAGCTTTCCACTAGGCTCAGTCTAACGCGTAGCGTTTTTCTGCCGCGGCCGGAGGACGTCGGCAAAGCTTTGGCGAGCGTTTCTTCCACATAGGCGGATTTACGTTGGTTTTCGACGTTGAACAGGTCCAAATCGCGCGCAAAGTTGCCTTTATCCGCAGAGCTGCCCGAGAGACGGTAGCAGCCGCAGGCTGCGTTAGTCTCGAGCCCTAGTCAAGATCATTTTTTTTGCATAGCGAAAATGCTAAAAATAGGTCTAGAATTTTTATAAAAATTTTTGGCGACTGTTGAGTCGCGAGACACTAGTTTTTATGCTCCAAAAATGGGTATTTACCTTTATTTTCACTCCTTTTTTCGAAAAACAACCCGGCTGATCCAAAAGCGAATAAAATGGAGGAAATTGAGAGTCAAAAAACAAACATAGAGGAATGTAAAAAAAATACAAAGAACTCCTCAGTAATGTATACGACAATTAGGTGAGTAATTCGGTACGAGAAAATTGAAAATTTCAATTTTTTTGGCATAAAAATTTTAAAAAAAATCTCATTTGTTCTTGCATAAGGCTCAAAAATTCACCTAACGTTGTGCAAAGGAATTTAGTAAAGATCGAAAAACCGAAAAAAAGATTACAAAAAAGTGGCCTGGAATCCGAATGCATACAAAAATTTTTTTGTTTCCTTTTCTCGACTGCAGGCGTTTTTTGAATGGAAACAAATTATAAAAAAAAAACATTTTTTTGGTTTGCATCAAAGGGGAGGCCGTAATATTGGGAAGCCGAGTAAAAGTAAGGTACAAATTTGACTTATAGCCCAAATTTAGGCACACCTTCCGTACAGTGAATTGAAAGGTCTAAGAATCCATTTTTTTTTAATTTTGGAGAGCATATGGGATCAGCAGAGAATGCTAGCCACATAATGTTTGGGACATCTCCTATCCGAAGCTGAGCTGTGGCCTCAGCCGATATGGAAAGCTCGCCATTCCACTACCGAACGTTTGGTAAAAATAAAAATAAGATAAAATTCTCTTTTTATCCATCAGAAATCGTACTGAAGCTTTTAAGATTGGTGTGATGACCAAAAAAGCGATCAAAAGTCTCCGCCGAATACAGTAGGTTTCGCGTCGGCGGACAAAGAAACTTTTATAGACAAAAAAACCGCCCATAGCCTTCTTTCTAATGCAAAAAGAATTTTTTGGATATCGTACCTGAGCGCCGAGAAATTGGCAAACACTTTCCGCGGAATTTCTCTGGACACCCTGTAGAAAGACTTCAAGTTCCGAACTTAAAAATTTTTTGTCCGCCGTACAGAGGTTTGTCGCTACATCCGTTACAACAAAACCTGTTTACAAATAGTAATTTTAGAGGGCCAAAAAAGTCAGTTTTAGGCCAAAGTGAGCCTCCATACAATGAAACCCTTCCATAACGAAGAATTTCTGCTTATTCCACCGATTCGTTGCGCAGAATTATGCTTAAATTTTTTCAATAATTGAAAAAAATCCCGAAGAAACGGTACCACAACGTATTTTACAAATAAAACCTTACCGTTACATTCCGCATGAACCACACTCCGCTGTTGCGGATAGTGCGCTGGATTTGTGGATGCGAACGTATGAGCTGTTGTTATTTGCTTCAGCTGAAAATAAAGTTCATATGATTTAGTTTGTTTTCAAAATTTTTTGTTTTTATAATAGTTTTGGAAATTTTGTGTCGTTTTTAGAAATTTCTGATGAATCTTCACACTACGTATTTTAAAAATAAAATAAAATTAAATTTTTTTCTTCCAAAAAAGGAAGTGGTAGATTTTCGTTAATAACTTTTGCAGCAGCAAAACTTTTTTCAAATTTTTTACCATGCAATTTTAAATAAAGCTTTGTAAAATACGAGCAGGAAAGTATCAACCTGTTTTTTTTTCATTTTGTCCACTCTATGTATATTACACTCTACCTCCAAATCATTATCCTTCGCCTCAAGCTCTTCACGATCCGTCAATCTCCGCCGTTCATCATTCAATTCCTCGTCCACAGTCTTAGCCACAACCCTACTATCATCAATACCCCCAATGTTCCCCGCATTATCCACATCACTGCTATTTTTGTCCGAGAAATCGAAATAATGCAGAGTTGAGAACGCCGAATTTGGCCGACTCTCCAACGACAAGAACGCTGAATCCGCGCTGTCCAGCGACTCTAGCTCATTGTCTTGTGAGATAAAGATCCAACCGGGTTTCTTGTAGCCCACGGAGACTTTGCTAACCCGATGAAATCCACTCGAGACCGGAGTCTTGGGCTTTTTTCGCTTTTTCTTTTCCCGAAACTTGCGGAACGATCGACGAATATACGATTCTCTGGCCTGACGGGACTTGGGAGAGGGCTTGTCCATTCTGATAAATAGAAAAAAAAATATGGTTGTGAGATGAGAGATTTTCGTGCGAAATCTTCAAAATCTCCGATACAACATGGTTTGCGAGGCAAAAAAATAATTTTAAATGCAATTTCAACGAACAAAAATACGTCATGTTGTCAAAAATAGCATTTATTAGCCCTTTAAAAAAGTCTTTTGTAAAATACGAGTTCCGGAATTTTGAACAAAATCATCAAAAATATCTTTTTTAGCGCAAAATCAAGCCTAAAACAACAAAAACTTTTCCCCTCAAATGTTTTTTCTTCGAAAAAAAGCAAATGTTCCGCATACGTTCCGCAGAAATTAAAGGTAATTTGTATTTCAACTCAAAGGAATTTTACCCATGTTTTGGGTGCGAAAATCGAAATTGTAATTGGCCATTAGGAAGGCAAATTGGAGAGGTTTTTTCACTGGGAAAGTTATACAGATGCAAGTGATGTAATTTTTTCCAAATTTCATCTATGTGGCCTATAAAGGGAAGTAGTCAAAATATGATGATTTTAGCTTTTAATTTGCAAAAGGAGCTGAGATATGCAACGATTTTTTAGGAGGAACACTACGGAAATCTTTACGACACGGGCCAAAAAAAAGTGATTTGTTATAGGCAGGTTTTGCTGTAGGGAGGTATATCTTACTCTGGGACCTCTGAAATTGTTCGTTACAGATGGATTTTTCAGTACGGGGCTGTTGATTTCACCGTAACCGCGATTAGCTCCAAAATTACTCTATTGCATTCCTACTCTACAATATTATCTCATGATCCCCAAATTCCTCATCCATTCCCCTTTCCGGGCCCTTATCTCCGCATGCCATCAAAAACCATTACTCCGAAAAGGCTGACAAAGTCATAAAACGAGTAAAACAACCTTTTTACTGCTAAATTTATATTCCTCTCACGTCGGTTTGTTTTATTTTCACGGCAGCACGAAATTTCGAACTCTTTTTTTTGACAAAGGAATCACTTCTCGAAGGCGAAAACAGTTATTCTTCGAGGAGGAAATCCTCAAAGCCAACAAACAAAAGTGGGAAATTGTTGTTGAGTTGAGAAAAAAAACTGAATTTTGGGTCGAACGTATCGAAAGAATTGTTTAAAATACGAGCGGTGGAATTGGAATAAATCAGGGAATATGACTGAAAAAATGTTGTGATTTCAGTTTCAGGTATACGCAAAGTTTTTACGGTTGTTGCATACACAAGATGCGGTTAGATAAATAAAACTTTTTTTTGACAAAATGGCGGGATGACATACATGTTTTTAGGTCAAAAATCGATCTAAATTTATAATGTGCGTTTTAAAAATTGATACGAAATTCCATAGTTATCAGATTTGGAATTTTCTTGAATCCAACAGTAGCAAGACCCCCTAAACTTTGTTTTAGATAAAGTTTTTGATCAATAGCAACTTTCATGGTATAAAAACTTAAGTCAGCAAGCATTTTTATGACGTTTTCTTGTCATAGAGTGCCTGGGTTAACCACTATTATGTATCTAGTCACTAGAGAACCGTCATTTATTTCTACAGTACCCGGAGATACCAACAAGCCCAAGAAAACCCCAAAATCCCAACCCACGTATTTCCAGAACCCAAAAGAACACAGCACGAAAAAAATCTTCCTCCAAAGTTTCCTCGTTTCAGTCCTTAATAAACAAAGTAATTTATTACGTCAGCAGATGTCCAGCCTTAGCAAACCGCGCTCCGCCACAAAACAGTCTTCTTTATCCCGCTACTCTCACGCCTTTTTTCAAACCGCAAAAAGCCAAAAATCACCCACATAACACAACATTGCCGTTGGTCACTCCTCGAACTGTCAAAGTCTCTGAACATCAAGTGAATCCGCTTACATTCAAGTAAGAATCATGAGGAGGAATTTGAATCTGAGACCTTTTTACGAGTCAACAAGTTTTTTTTCGAAATCTGCATGAAGGTCATTTTCAGGTCCGAGACGAAAACATCTTACCGAAGACAACAAATTTTCTAATTTTCTCTGGGAATTTGAACCCAGTGGAGGTTGAGGACAGATTTTTGACCTTAAAAACAGTGAGTAAAGGGCTCAAAAACAGTGTAAAATACCAACATGATGAAGTGCTAACAACTGATTGAATTTAGTTCGCAAAAATAATATTCCAAAAGGGGAAGTGTTCAAAGTGAGACTCCCAGATTTCGACAAGTGCTTTCAAAAAAGTTGGTACTAACCTTGCAAAGATAAAGCCAAAAAATTTTTTCTCTATGACCGTTCTCCGCGTTCCGCGTACTCCCTCCGCGACAAAAATCACTGAATATTTCAAATGTGCCTACAAAGAACAAGCTAAAAAATTTTAGGAATCGAGGGGAGACCTAAAATTTTTAATGCATATGCAATGCTCGGCAGGATTTTTTATGCCACATGCGCTGTAAAAATAATGCTGAAACTTTTCATGCAAAAAAAATCACCAAATTTCGAAAAAACCAGTCGTTTCTGCAAAGCTTGAGCTGGAAAGTTATACAGTGCTGGACAAAATGATATGGTCACCACATTTTTGCGCTGGCAATTTGTCCTCAGTGAATGAATCGCTTTAATATTTGGCACAAGTGAGTACGAGGCAAGGTAACATGCACACAAAAAGTATCAAAGGATTTCAAAAAGTGCAAGGTGAGTAAAATTTGGAAAAACGCGAAACCGCCAAAAAATCGGCTGGACAAAATGATATGACCACGTGGTTTAATTCAATCTTTTACTAATCAACGCAATTTAACAAACAATCCTAGTAATGTGTGAGTCCTCCACTGATTACTAGGACTGGTATGGGGACACGTTCGGCCAGGTTTAGTCGGCTTTGAACGCGTTAAACCATGTTTGATGCAGAGCTACCCAAACTGGCGATTATCTTCCATTAACGCTTTCTAAAACTTTTAAATGACGTTTTTATCATGTGATCTAGACGTGTAATCACCTGTACAAGAGTTCGCTTTTCGCACAAACTCCATGGTGGTCTGGTAGTGTGGATTCAGCAAACATCTGGTTACCATGTCCAGCTTTGGCGACCCATTTGCTATTTGACCCTGGGGATAGATGTGCTCCTTAGGTTTAAAATGTAACCCGGAATCTCTCTAGAAAACGGCGAAGCCAAGAAAAGTCCCCGCTGACACGATCACAGCTTTGCAGATGCAACTTTGCCGACCTTCACCTTAACCAGCAAAACCGAGTTTTTCAAAGGGATCGTTAGCGACAAAAAACAGTTCATTTGATGGCCCAGGATGCATGAGGTGTGCTGTAGCTTCTAAAATTACATAGGCCATCGAATGAAAGCCGTTTTGCATCGCTAAAAATCCATTTGAAAAACTCGGTTTTGCTGGTTAAGGTGAAGGTCGGCAAAGTTGCATCTGCAAAGCTGTGATCGTGTCAGCGGGGACTTTTCTTGGCTTCGCCGGTTTCTAGAGAGATTCCGGGTTACATTTTAAACCTAAGGAGCACATCTATCCCCAGGGTCAAATAGCAAATGGGTCGCCAAAGCTGGACATGGTAACCAGATGTTTGCTGAATCCACACTACCAGACCACCATGGAGTTTGTGCGAAAAGCGAACTCTTGTACAGGTGATTACACGTCTAGATCACATGATAAAAACGTCATTTAAAAGTTTTAGAAAGCGTTAATGGAAGATAATCGCCAGTTTGGGTAGCTCTGCATCAAACATGGTTTAACGCGTTCAAAGCCGACTAAACCTGGCCGAACGTGTCCCCATACCAGTCCTAGTAATCAGTGGAGGACTCACTCATTACTAGGATTGTTTGTTAAATTGCGTTGATTAGTAAAAGATTGAATTAAACCACGTGGTCATATCATTTTGTCCAGCCGATTTTTTGGCGGTTTCGCGTTTTTCCAAATTTTACTCACCTTGCACTTTTTGAAATCCTTTGATACTTTTTGTGTGCATGTTACCTTGCCTCGTACTCACTTGTGCCAAATATTAAAGCGATTCATTCACTGAGGACAAATTGCCAGCGCAAAAATGTGGTGACCATATCATTTTGTCCAGCACTGTATGTATTAGAGCAAAAAAGTCATCGAAATTTGTCGCAAGTCTTATTAACATTCAATCATACAATTTTGAGCACTTTCCCTACTTCTTCCCCCCAAAAAAATACATACATTTTCGGCTCAAATTTCCCCCCTAAAACCCCTCAAACTTTACCTGAAAAGGTGTGCAATAGAAGTGACTCTCCGTCTTCTGATAAATCCACATATCGCCGATCAGATTTACATCACATTTCACCCATTCTGACTTGAATATTCAACCCGTTTTAGCCGTCGAAAATAGCAATATTCGCCTGCGAAGAAGCAGATCCGTAAATATTTACTTTTTACTCTTTTTGCAAGTCGGGGGGAAGTAAAAACATCGGCTCGAAAAGTCAAAAAAATATTTTTTTACCATGCCTTTGATCGCTTTTTGTCTCTCCCTCGGAAATCCCCCACCCTTCCTTTTTTGGAGGATTACCTTTGTTAAAGAATTACTTTTTACCATCGCCATTCTTGACGGATGACATGGAAAGATGGTTATTATATGCGGAAAGGTGTTATAAACGCTTCAAGAAAAAGTTTTTGGGGGTTTTCAAAGTTATGCTTTGTAGGTAACAATTATTTTTGTTGGGCAGTAATTGTTGACAAGGAAAAGGGTACGTATTTTACAATGAAAAAAAGTTTATGGCTATGTTTAGGACAGTGCTTTAACCAGATATTTTTTTATTTTTGAGATTTTGAGTGACAAAAAATTAGTATTTTAGATACCGTATATATTTTCATTTTTTCTGTTTGTAAGATCTTAAAAAAAAACGTATTTTTAGAAAACATTACGTATTTTACCCAGTTTTTTTATTTTGAAAAGCTATTATCAGAGCCTCTGTACAACGAATACTTGCATGACAAACAATGTCTAAAAAAAAATTTCGCAAGTTCCAAGAGTAAATTTTTTACCAAAAGTGAACGTCTGTACAACAAAATCTTTCTATAAAAAATTTATTTTTTTGGTCCATTGCGATTAGTTGTACAGAGGTTTGACTGTAATTTTCAAAACTTCAAAATCTGCTTACCGGATTTTTGAAATCCTGGAAAGTGATCAACAATGTGCACAATTGGTCCTTCATTGGCTCCTCGGAATGGCTAAAGTAATTTTAATCACTTTCAAATAAAAAAAAATGCAATTTAAATATAATAAACTTTTTTAACCGTATTTTACCCTTCTTTTGTTTTCTTTTTTCTCCGTTTTCGTAATTTTACCTGAGGATTTTGAGGCCTGCAACAGCGAGCTGCTCCGGCGGAGGCAACGGAGACAACTCGGTGCGGATTATTGTGACCATCTCAGTAGACAAGTTGAATAAAAAAATTTATGGCAATGGAAGTCAGATTGAAAGCTCAGCCGTTCTCTGGTATGTACAATTGAAAGACAGGCATAAAGAGATTTCTGGAACATGGATGAAATGAAAGAGGTAAAAATACACCGTTAAATGAATAAAGAACGCTTTGAAAGTATTATAAAATTATCGGAATTTATCGTTGAAAAAAATTCAGATTTTTTTTTAATCAAAATTTCAAAAAAAAATCCGTAGCCGCGGCAAAAAGTCCATGGAATTTTTTGCGGTTCCCAGATTCCCTCGCACTCCGAAAAATTCGATTTGTCGCGGCGAAAAATGGGAATCGCGCGCGACGTAAGCCAAAAAACAAAATTGCACTGTGCAAAGCCATTTTTTGGGCTCGGTGCACGGTGCAATTTTTTTGAGTTGATGCACAGTGCAGAGTCGCAGAAAATTCCAAAGACTTTTTTCCGCGACAAGACATTTTCAAAAAATGCCTGGAAATCTTTTTTTTCGCTTTCGCCGCACAGTGCATCTTGAATTTTTGTCGCCATCGCACAGTGGATTTTTGCCTTTGCGCACCGTGCAAAGGAATCCTTCGATTGCGACCCCGCTCGATTGCGACCTCGCATCGATTGCGACCCCGCATCGATTGCGACCCAAAATGGGGTAAAGCGACCCCGGGATGAAAATTCCTTGATTCTCTTCGGGAAAAACTTGCTTTAGGGGTTTTCGAGGGTGCTGATTTCGAAAATGATGTTTATTTTTCCTCTAGTACTACATAGTGCTGTCTGATACTATATAGTACGAAGTCAAAATATGGCTTTTGACGTTAATGGCGTTGGTTTGATGCTTAGTACTCTTCAAAAACACGTTTTAAAGACTTGGTACTATATAGTACTGTCTGATACTATATAGTACGAAGTAAAAATAGGCGTACTAAACACCAAAACAACACCACGAACGCCTAGAGGCCAACTTTACACCTCGTACTACATAGTATCAGATAGTACTATATAGCACCAAGTCTTTAAAACGTGTTTTTGAAGAGTACTAAGCATCAAACCAACACCATTAACGTCAAAAGCCATATTTTCACTTCGTACTATATAGTATCAGACAGTACTATGTAGTACTAGAGGAAAAATGAACATGATTTTCGAAATCAGCACCCTCGAAAACCCCTGAAGCAAGTTTTTCCCGAAGAGAATCAAAGAATTTTCATCCCGGGGTCGCTTTACCCCATTTTGGGTCGCAATCGATGCGGGGTCGCAATCGATGCTGGGTCGCAATCGATGCGGGGTCGCAATCGATGGAATTCCCGTGCAAACCTCAAAAAAGCCGATTGCACTGTGCGCATTTTTGAGCAAAACCGCAGTTGAGAAAAGCTCACGTCGCGGCGATATTTCAAATGCACAGTGCAAAACCAAAAAAAGGTGAGTGCACGGTGCAAGAATTCGCGAATTTTTGTGTCGTCTTTTGCGGGGAGTTTTTGAAATTACAAAGATACATTAGGTTGCGTATTTTACCAAAATATCATCAAATCCGCCACTCATCCCCTTTAACCTCCTCAAACATTGTCCTTATCCAAAAACAACCCTATCCAATTGTTTTTTCGACGTATCGCCCTTCCGTTCTCAATTTCCATTGCTCTCGACCAAACAAAAATACAAAAAGCCCCCTCAAAAAGAGTGTTCGCTAGATCCCCTTCTATTGTTTGAGGATTCCCGTGGATTGGGTTCAGGGATATTTATAAAAACGGGGCTTCAAGTGCGGGACCGCAACGGGAAAAGTATCATAAAAAAAGGGTTTAATCAGTTTGAGTGGTAAAGTTAAGAGGGGCGAAATGAGTCAACGATTACTCATCGTATTGTATAGTTGTATTGCCAGCAAAAAAAAGTTTTTAATTGTCAGCTTTTTTGGGGTGAAAGTGTAAAATTTAGTAAAAACGGGGCAGCTTATGCAAAAAGGGAAGCGAAAATGAAGTGCGACGCTCAGATTTCCTTACAACTTTGAATTTATCATCTATCTAGAATACGTTGCGGTTATCGAAAATTTCACCTCCAGCTTTCAAAACAGTCCAAAAAATCCCACACTCTTTTCAGAAGAGAGTGTATATCACAAAAGGAGATATGGGCAGAGAAACAATCTTTTTTTAGCATATCTTTTCGTTTTTTGCTTGGAACTAAAAAAGGCTCTCTAATATTGAAAACACAGCGCTGATTTTCCTGGAATAAAATCTCACAGAAATCTCAAAATTTTTGCCAACTTCTATTCTCAAAATCTCCGCGATCTCTGCAACGAAACAGCTGAAAATCTCGTTGACCTCATTAAAAGATGTAGCCGTAAAGTTGGCCAAATTTCACCAAACTCTGAACAATTTGCTTTGAGCTCTTCAGCTGTTTTCTCTCGGTCCCAGCACACAATTTTGACAATATTTACAAATCGAAAACCCCTCTCCAAAAAAATCTCAAAACCTCCTCATGTCATTTTCAATATCTTATTTACCGGAATACCCTCTTTGTTTATCCCGTACTTCCTTCAAGAGTGTATTCAGAAAGAAGAATTCCAATCAGGAAAAAGAGAAAGACGATCTAGAATCGGCAAACAAATCAACGAGGAGAAGAAAGTAACCGTAAATATAGAGGCGTCATAATACAGAGAACCGATTGCAAATAGGATTAGGAGCTGGATACTATAGTATTACTATAGTATAAAATATTATATATTAGAACCACTGTACAACAAATCGGAAGAGACCAAAAAATTTATTTGTTATAAGAATGGTTTTATTGTAAGGAAGGTTATTTTGACATAGAATTGGCTACAAAACTCTCTGACGTTGTTTGTTATAGAGAGGTTTGCTGTAAGGGGACTCGTTGTATTGCAAAAGTTCAATAATTTATGTAAAAGTACCCTGTACAATAAACCCAAAAAATCGGGAAAGGTTTTGCTGTACACAGGTTTTGGCCTAAGATTGGCCTTCAAGAACTCTAAAATTGTATTTTATAAAGAGGTTTTTTGTTGTAAGGGGCTTTTGTCGTGCAGAAGAAGAACTATTTTTGCTAAATTCATAAAGGGATGACAAGGAAAACTTTGAAGACATTACAGTGGCTCCTTACAAGAAGCTCCTATACACAAAACCTTTCGATAGAAAACAGTTTTTAATACTCCAAATGCCGGCTCTCTATAAACCTCCATATAACAGACCTTTGTTATAACGAATAGACTTTTGGGTCCCTTGCAATCCGACTTGATAGTATACAATATATACCACATATATTGTAATATCTTTAAAAATCCCTTTCTTTCCGCCACAAAATCGAATTTGTTATTACCGTTTTAGCCTTCGCCTTGCTGAGCCTTTCCTTCCATTAGCGCCGACATAGCTTATACGAGATTGTACAATAGTCCTTGGCGCAAGCTGCCTCACATTGGGGGCCTCTGGCGGAGCACCCGACTTTTTCTGTTTCGGAAAAATCTCAGGGTCAAACTCATGGCCAGAGGCCGCCAAATTGGCGTAGATCTGGGTTGGCGCAATTACAATTTCCGGTTGAGATAGTAGAATTTAGAAATTAAATTTTAGACCGCAACTTGAAAGTAAAATACGTCGTGTTGAATTTTTTCCTCCGGTCAGAAATAAAAATATTGACAAAAAAATAGGAGCAACGAGTTATTTTTTGTATTGCAGATAGCCCATGAGCAGAACAATGAGCGGGATTGGGAGTGGCGGATCACTCCGTTCCGCTCATTCAGCTCCCAAAAAAGAGAGGGAAATCTCCATGTTTGATATATGGAATAAAGTAAAAAGTAAACAAAGGGTAAAATACGATACAACATCATACAATATAAAGAAAATTATGGTAAAATATGGCGCTTTTTTTGATTCGTCTAAGCTTACCTTGATGTTGAAGGATCCGGAAGTCGACAATTGTGTGATGTTGTAATCAAACGTTTTTATTGGCTTTTCATAAGAAAATTTTGATCTGCAATAAAAATAAGAACATTAGAGCAGGTTCTGTGAGGCATTGGTTAGTTTATATATCCAAAGTCGCGAAAATTTTTACAGCTTGCTTAGAATGCTTCGACATCGTCAAGACCAACAACAGCTCGGATAATTAAGGCTGGAGGTCTACGAAGTTGGCAAGCATCTCTGGATAAAATTCGGCTCATATTGAAATCATTTGTTTTCTAACAAGGCACATTACAAGGCATGTAAGGCATGTACGCAAGATTTGTAGACCACGGTAACCCGAAATTTTTCCCGTAAAGTCGCTGAAAAATAGAGGAAAAATGATTCCCGCTTACTTTGGAATTTTTTCCAAAGGAATGTCGCAATTGACAAAAAAATATAACATTTCCGAGAAAATTTTTATACGCCGTAAGTTTACAATCAAACGAAAAATTCTTTTGTGACCTCTTCTTGGATTTTAATCGATATCAAGAGGGCGAATTGTCTAAAAACCCCCGGAAAAACAACAGGTTGCAGTGGCAGCTCTACTTTTTGGGGGCAAAAGTTCAAGGAAAAAAATTGAATTCTGAATAGTGTTGTAAGTAATGCCCAAGCCGCGAATTATCAGTCTGTCGGGAAAATAATGAGCACAGTGTCGCTGCGCCAGTTGTGTCGCTAAAGTGAAAAAAATTGGACTTTGCCGCGAAACAATTCATTTTCCCGGCGGCGATGCGATTTTGGATGCGACAGAGTGCTCATTCTTTTGCAGACAGACTGATAAGCTATTTTGTGGTGATGCAAAAAGAAGTTATGGACAGTCCACAATCTTGCCTTGCCCGTCTAAAATACGGAACACCAAGAAATCGGCCGCAGAAAATGCCCTACCAACCGTCCATTTCATAACTCTGTCAACCAAGCCGAGGATTACGTCAAAAAATCGTACAGACCCTGCCAAAACCCTCGACTCGCTGACAAAGTATTGTTGTGCATAAATAAAAGAGCGTTGGAGAAACCCGAAAGTGTCCCGCGACACCAAAAATGTGTCGACGTCGGA